ATTTTGCTATGGCCGATATGAAACCAATATAATGGGAGTTGGAGCTGCCGATATAATCGCCGATATATTTAGTGATGTAAAAATTCACTGTAAATGTTGAATTGTTTTAAAAACTTAGGTTTGGCTCTGGTGGATTTTAAATTGGGTTTATTTAGGCAACATTTATTGTTATTCTGCCTCTTTACATCATATTTACAGACAGTAGGTTGGCTTAATGGCATTTTTGCATCACATTCTAGACACTAGTGATGGGTATTCCAGTTCTTTTTAGAGAACCGGCTCTTTTGGCTCGGCTCACTAAAAGCTGCTGGTTCTTTTGGCTCCCAAGTGGCTCTTCAGATTGTTTTGTTTCAAGCAGGACTAAAGCACGTCTAAAGCAGGACTGAAACTGAAAAAGGACTAAACCGGGACTTATTTATTTTATGCTAAACTACAGTGAAATATGCTCGTTTTTTTTTTTTTTTTTTTTTTTTAAATCCTACGTACACGCAAATTTCTCAAAGTTTCGTTTTTAGCCGCTGCCGCTGTCAAACCACGAGTCTGCACGCGGCGTGAAGAGAAAAAAAGTGAGAGGAAGAGAAAACACGGCTCCCAATAAGGATCAGTCTCCCGTCGTTCCCTTCAAAGAGCCGGTTCTAAGAGTCATTTCGTTCGCGACCGACCCATAACTAGTAAAGAAAGTAGCGCTATTAGCCTTTAGCCGTAAATACGTGCGCGCCGCGGTAATTAATTATATGCGCAAATGTCATCATTCACACGTCTGTTCACAGCTCATTTACATATCAGTGCAGGTCCAGTAGCAAATATACGAACAATATAATCACTTTACAACAGGCCAATAGAAAACAGTCTGTTTATGTGCGGGAGCTACAGCAGCTAACCCATAACAAATGACAAAAACTAGCTTCAGAGTCGACATATTTCCAACACTCACCGCTTCATACAGGCTCCTCCACATCACAAAAATCTGCACTAATAAATGTCCTTTTAATCCAGACTCAAACCGATTGTCCGTAAAAAGAAAATAATCTCAGTGTTTGGATCTGTGTCTGCAGGTGTAAACAAACACACGTGAGTGACGCGACTCTGTGGTGTGTTCAGGGACAGTACGGACACACACAGACAAATGACTCCGTAGATAAATACTGATGTGGAGACACATATTTGGACATTTATCTGTCTGTAAATTGGATTAAATGAACAGAATGTAGAGAGTCTAAGCTTTATAAGGAGGTATAACATGCCCACGTGAAATATCGGCCCCTATCAGCAAGCATATCGGCCGATAGCCGATATGCCTAAAGTTGCCCATATCAGCCAATAATATCGGCCAACCGATATATCGGTCGGGCTCTAGTTACAGTTACTGTTTAAGTGAGTGGTAATTGGATTACAGTTACTTGATTGAAATAAATGGATTACACAGAGGTATTTTCCTCTTTTCACTTTTTTTTTTCTTCGGTAATTCCACTCATTACCAGACACTAAAACCAGGTCTAAAACCAGGTCTAAACCAGGTCTAAAACCATGTGTGAAACCAGGTCTAAACCAGGACTAAACCAGGTCTAAACCCAGGTCCTAACCAGGTCTAAACCAGGTGTGAAACCAGGTCTAAACTAGGTCTAAACTAGGACTAAACCAGGACTAAACTAGCACTAAACTAAGACTAAACCAGGACTAAAACCAGGTCTAAACCAGGTCTAAACCAGATCTAAACCAGGAGTAAACCAAGACTAAACCAGGACTAAATCAGGACTAAAACCAGGTCTAAACTATGTCTCAAACAGGATTTAACAGGATTAAACCAGGACTAAACCAGTTTTAAACCATGTCTAAAACAGGATTTAGCAGCACTTTAACAGGACTAAACCAGGTCTAAACCAGGATTTAACAGGACTAAACCATGCCGTGCGGACCGTGTCTCCTCCTCTTCTATCAATAATATTTTTAATACGGTTAAGTAAAGACTCTACCTTTTCATTTCTTTAGCAGATACAAACATTATGTGAAGATTTTCCTCGTCTTTGCTTCTCTACAGCAAATCAAGTAATCCAAAGTATTCAGATTACATTACTCACTTTAAGTAATTTAATGGATTACATTACAAACTACATTTTGGGCTCTGTAATCTGTAATCTGTAGGGGAATACATTTTAAAAGTGACCGTCCCAACACTGGTAACACACAATGCTTTTTTAACCTGGACTGAAGTGGTGGTTTCTCTTCATACAAATTTGCTAAAATGAAACGCTGGAGACATGCCCGTGAAAGGACCAGTGCAGAACTCCATGCTCCACAGGGCGAAGAGCAGCCGACACCCGATCGCGCCTTGCAGACACTCTGTTCCACGGCATGGGGTTCTCTCAGGGGCGGTCCTAGGTTCCAATGGTTCTGGTTTAGTCCTGGTTTAGACTAGGTTTAGTCCTGTATTACCACATGACATAACAATGTGGACCAGAGTGTTTTCCGTTTGAGAAAACTTAGGTTTGTGTGTCAAACATGTGTGAATGAAACAAAACACTCCAGGTCTGTTTGTGATATGGAAATGACATTATAACATAGATTAAAAAAAAGAAAGAAAAAAGTTTAATATGTGTCATTTAAGAATATTACTGTTACTTCAGTGTATTATAATGTATTTGTAATTAAAATGGAACTGTACTCATGTATTCCAATGGCTATTTTAAAGACCTCTACCACCCCCTTGTGGCGAAAGTTATAATCTCACCCCATTAAATCTCCAAGTATTACTGCAGTCCACTAGGGTTGTCAAAAGTATCGAAAATCAAATACTAATCGATAGAGATGTAACGATATCCAAATCTCACAGTACAATATTTTTTATTACTGTCATTTCAACATAATTCGTTACATTACAATATTAGTGCATTTAAAATGTAAGACATTACACGACTATTGCAGCACTTTAAAGTTACTCTCACCAAAATAACTGCACCAAAATGCAGGTTTAGTCTTGGGCTGAACCAAGACTGAAACAGGTCTAAGCCAAGGACTGAACCGAGAACTGAACCAGGAGGTCTGAACTAGGACTAAACCAGAGTTGAACCAGGACTGAACCAGGACTGAACCAGGTCTAAACCAGGTCTAATCCAGGACTAAATCCAGGACTAAACCAGGACTAAACCAGAGTTGAACCAGGACTGAACCAGGTCTAAACCAGGTCTAAACCAGGACTAAACCAGGACTAAACCAGGTCTAAACCAGGTCTAATCCAGGACTAAACCAGGACTAAACCAGGACTAAACCAGGACTAAACCAGGACTAAACCAGGACTAAACCAGGACTAAACAGGACTAAACCAGGACTAAACCAGGACTAAACCAGGACTAAACCAGAACTAAACCAGGACTAAACCAGGACTAAACCAGGTCTAAACCAGAACTGAACCAGGACTAAACCAGAACTGAACCAGAACTGAACCAGAACTGAACAAGGACTGAACCAGGACTGAACCAGAACTGAACTAGGACTAAACCAGGTTTAAACCAGGACCAAACAAGGACTAAACCAGGACTAAACCAGGACCAAACTAGGACTAATCTTGGACTAGGACTTAGAATCTAGTTCTGCCCTGTCTCAAAGCTTGATCGGGAGTCGGTTGCTCTTCGCCCTGTGGAGCGTGGAGTTCTGTGTCCTTTCGCCTGTGGTCACCCAATGGTCTAACCCGGGCGCACCTCAGGGCCCGTCCTGACACTCGGAACAATCGTAACGTTTCATCTCTACTGATATTGCGGTGATTTTAGCAAATTTGTATCAAGAAAAACGAAAAACTCACCACTTCAATCCAGGTTAAAATGCATTGTGTTACTCCCAACACTGATCCCTACTAATCAGTATTAAAATTTGTATTGAAAGTAGATACTCATTTTTCACAGGTCACATTTACAGGGCAGAAGTGAGTTTTGTTTAAAAACACGGAAAGGGCCACCACGTTTTATAATTCAATAAGAATATAGACTTAAAGGTGCATTGCGCAACTTTTCTGGAGTAGATTCCGCCAGCTGCTTGTCTTCATGATGAATAATATTGCTTTACCTGAATGTTCCACAGTCTGGCATTCCATTTTTCTATCCCCATGGAGACAAGCAGAAGCAGGTAATGTTATGAGTCAGATCTGTGGCGAGGCGAGCCCAACCTAAAGTAAGGATTATTCCTAATTTCAAGCTATAAAAACACATGAAACTGAATAAACGTGCGATAGATCCAACCGTGGGAACCGTAACGCAACAACTGGTAATGTCGCCTCAACCCAAAAAAGTTACGCAGTGCAGCTTTAAGTTATAATTAGCTCTGCAAATTGTGTCATTCTTGAGCGATAATATCTAGTTTCGGGCCGTTTTGAGTTTTATCTCGGATTTGCACACTAATTAATTACAGATATTGTTGGGGAATGGCCCGTAGTGATCCGTCTTAATGTGATTGGAGAATTTTTCTAATCTTCAGTGAAAATGAGACTGGACTGAGGCGAGGTACGCAGCGTAATCTTCGCATAATAGCTCTCAAATTAAAATTAAAATGTTAGCAAAGATTTATTTCTCTTCACGATTTCTCCAAAGCAAATTCTAATGTAATAGTTAAAATATTAAAAGTGGGATATTCTACTTCTATGGGGTATTAACTGTAACACGTAACACATTTAGATCACCATGTTACCTTTTATTGTTTTGAAAATGCTGTGTTAACGTGTTTTATAAGTTTCACATTCATGTCCCCTCCCTTTGCTCTCCGCGCTAAGTCACTCCTCCTTCAGAGCGCTCTCAAAACACAATCAGACTACATCTCGCAAATTGAGTCTTTCATCATAATTTCCTCATCGAAAAACTGACATTTTATACGAGACTTGACTTTGACAATTACTGGAAAACTTGGAGATTAGATCAGATTTTAATTGAGTATAGCCTGATGAAACCATTTTGTTTTTTGCTTTATTGTTTTGTTATTGTTACTGTTATTATATGTGTGTCTCTTGTGTGTCTCAGGTCTGATTCGTCTGAGTGTGCGTCATGATCGGTTTCCTGTGGAGGATTATCTGGACCTTTTCGATCAGGCGGCGCATCAGATACAAGGGAATTCAACCAGAAACCCCACCGCAGCCAGCCAGCCACACCTCATCATAGGTAAGAGAAGAGAGACCGGGACTGGACCAGGACTGAACCATAAACTGTCCATAATAATCTAATAGTAATAGTACAGTTATTTCAATTCTGAAAACCCAAATTCAAATATTCAGCTTGACGTTGTTGTGTTTTCCGGTTGTGTGTTGTATGTTGTGTGTGTTATGTGGTGTATGTTGTGTCTGTTGTGTCTTTCCCGTTTGTACTAAAGTTGAATTATTGTCTGTGTGTTATAGGAGAGGCGAGTGCGTCCTTCCTGATTGTGCTAAAGATGATGTTGTGTGCTGTGTGTGTTATATGTATTGTGTGTGTTGTAGGAGAGACAAGTGTGTCCTTCCTAATTGTACTAAAGCTGATGTTGTGTGTTGCGTGCGTTGTGTGTGTTGTGTGTGTTGTGTGTGTTGTGTGTGTTGTAGCAGAGGCGAGTGCGTCCTTCCTGGTTGTACTAAAGCTGACGTTGTGTGTATTGTGTGTTGTCTGTGTTGTAGGGGAGGCGAGTGCGTCCACCATGTGGGATAACAACGCCTGGCTGAACGTTTATGAAAACTCCACTGAAGGAGAACCTCCTTTTCTGGTGCAGGACTTTGTCCACGCTCTGCAGCCCCAGGCCCGTGCCATCGTCATGCTCCGAGACCCCGTCGAGAGGTGAATGAAGTATACAAATATATGCAAATAAATACATTTATGTACAATTATATACAGTTATATACAATTATATACATTAGTACTCAGACTGTAGTCAGATTATCTGTTGTTTCCTCAGATTATACTCCGATTATTTGTACTTTGGAATCTCCAACAAATCGGCTGAAGATTTCCACGACAAAGTGTCAGAGTCTCTCCTGCTGTTCCAGAGCTGTGTGTCCGACTCCAGTCTGCACTCCTGTGTTTACAATACTACAGTCAACCAAGCTATGCCTGTAAGAACGACTGTACTACTACTACTACTACTACTACTGATATACTACTACTATTGATACTACTATTGATACTACTACTACTACTACTATTGATACTATTACTATTACTACTACTACTATTGATACTACTACTACTACTACTACTACTATTGATACTACTACTACTACTACTACTACTACTACTACTACTACTACTACTACTACTACTATTGATACTACTACTACTACTACTACTAGAACCAGATATTCATGTAAGTACTACAATACTGCTACTACGACAATACTACTGTGAATCTGGCTATGCCTGTGAGTACTACTGCTATTACAGTACTACTATTACTGTTGCTGTAATTTTACTTCCTGGTTGGACATGGGCAGCAGATGTGACATAAGTAGAGTTCATTTCATAACTGTTACCAATAATGTAAACGAGGACAAAACTTGTCTAAGTTACTCCCCTATTCTCCCCCGTACAAAAATATGACAACCCATTGTGATGTGCAGTGGTTTAATTATCGGGACGCTCGCCGATTGTGTTGTGACAGTGCTCTGAAGGGGGGGTGACTTAGCACAAAGAGCAAAGGAGAGGGGAGACTCAGAGCATCCAAAAAGTGAATATAGCACCTTCCAAAAAAATCAAAGGTAACATGGAGATCTCAATATGTGTCATGTTAGCAGTTACACCTCCTCTTTTGGTCTCTCCGTCTCACACCTCTCCGTCTGTCTCAGGTTCGTCTTCACATCGGGCTGTACATCGTGTTCCTCATGGACTGGCTCTCTGTGTTCAGTCCGGAGCAGATCCTGGTCCTCAGGCTGGAAGATCACGCCTCCAACACAAAGTTCACCATGGGTCAGGTCTTCTCCTTCCTCCGCCTCGGTCAGTCTCAAATACCTGTGGATTTAAAAGTCCTATATTACACAAAATGTTTCATCTTCACAAACATACATGGAGTTGTGTTTTGTTTTGTTTAACACACAAAGGGTTTGCAGGGTTTGTGTCTAAAACATGTGTGAATAAAACAAAACAACTCCAGGTCTGTTTGTGATGAGGAAACTACATTAGAACATGATGTTTGACACTAAAGGGTGATTCTGTGTTTTTTCAGGTCCGTTATCGAAGGATTTGGAGTCTGACATCACGAGGAACCCGGCGTCTAACACCCGTCGCCCGGCCGACAAGAACCTGGGCCCCATGCTTCCTGTGACTAAAGAACTTCTGGGACATTTCTACAGACCCTTCAACCAAAAACTGGCCAAAGTTTTACACAATGACTCTTTTCTCTGGGACTCCTCATGAACCGCACCTCATCTCTGCTCCAGCAAGTGCCCACAGCCACACTGCAAAAACAGACGACTACTGGAGGTTGAATGACTGCAATAACAACAGTATTAAAGCTACAGTATGGAACTTTTACTGACAAACATGCGCCCTTACTGTGAATGAGCTTGCATTTCCACAAACCTGATTCTCCTGCTTGTTTCCAAGGAAATGTTGTTCCTTTCTCTCAAAGCTTCCAGGCATTTAACTCCCTGTTTCCACAGAATCGTGCAGGTGACGTGCCACTTCCAGAAAGTTACATGCTGCAGCTTTATTAATAATTTATTTATAATATTTTTATATGATATGATATGATATTTGTCTTATTCATGTACTTCATACACAGTGGTGAAGGCTGTTGTAGCCACAGCCGCCCTGGACTGAAGCGAGGCTGCCAATCTCACATGCCACATTCACTAAATGGATGAAGTGTCTTGCCTAAGGACACAACAACAGAATGCAGTAACTTCCAAGTGAGACCCAAATCACTCTCAACTCATAATATGGCCAATATCATCTCTAAATGATACCAGTAAACCACACCTGCCCTCCTCAGACACGTTCAGTGTTTTTAGTCGTTTAAACTCATGCAGAGTTCTGTTTTTGCAGTGAAACAATAAAGGGTTTGATTCTAAATTATTCAGTTGTGAACGCTACAGCACAAGAGTGAGTGAGAGTGAAAGAGATTTTGAGAATGTTTATTTTTGATGTAAACAAGTAAATAAAGGGATAAATAAACAAAAGTGTTGTGTAGTTTTGGTTCAGCTTTACTTTTCAGGCAAATATAACAACTACTACTACTACTACTAACTGAAAACATGCTATGTAGATCTCCAGGAAGAACAGCTGATAACTAAGGTCAATTAAATACAACCAATCAATGAGCAAGTATACATGCATACATCAGTATCCCGGTTCCTATCGGAATATACCAACTACAGTATCCTGATACTGCGTATACATGCACCATGAAGAAACCAGGATACTCAAAAAACCCGATCATGACCAGGATACTGATGTGCATGTAAACACACTAAATGAACCTGCCCAGGAACTACAGGTGAAAATTAGCACTAGTGCTACAACCTGGTACAATGCATCTGTCCTTTTAAGGTTAATGTAAAAAGTTATGGACTGTCCCTGTCTCATTAAATCAACAAATACTACAAAAAAGTGTGGAAGAAAATATGCAGTTAAATCAGTAAAAATAAGGACTTTATTGTAAAGAATCAGTTTTTGATAAGGCAACATCTGTAATACAAGGTAGAAAGCTAAAAAATATTGATTTACCATAAAATCCTGTCTTTAAAATAAAAATATGGTTCATGTTGGCATTAAAATAACCGAACTGAGCCAGTATGAGGTAACATAATTCACTGTAGATAATTCAGTAGAAGCATTTACACTTTGTGGCCACATGAGGGCGGTAAACGTTAAGGAAATTAAAATGGCAACATCACAGCAAATGAGTTTCCCCTGTTCTGTAATTTGACATGATGAGATTGCCTGTTTATGGTTTATCTCCATGAATATAGTTAAATAATATAGTTAAATAATAAAGAATAAGAATATATGTTTTTTTTTTTTTTTTATGTCTTAAAGGGAAATCATCCGCATTTGACCCGTACAGTTGCCATGGTGACGCAACGCACACGTTAGCAAACACTGACGAAAAAAAAAAAAGTTTTAATAATAATAATAATAATTTTTTTAATTGCACTTTACATAAAATAATCTCAAAGTGCTACAGGTAAAAACAATGAGTAAAAAGGTGCATCAGAAACAGTGGATCAAGCTAAAACCAGTGCAGGATTTATAAGATAAAACAAGAATAAAATACAATTAACAAAAGGCTTTAGTAAAAAGGTATGTTTTAAGATTTTGTTTAAAAACAGAAATAATTGTGGGGCTCTCAGGTGGTCGGGAGAGCATTCCAAAGCCTTGGAGCAGCAGAGGAGAAGGCCCGATCTCCCATGGTGCAAAGTTTGGTTCTGGGGGTTTGGAGAGTGTTGTGGCTGCAAGCGGAGGTGCGTGAGGGGGTCTGGGGAGTGAGGAGTTCCTTAAGGTACTGGGGGAGTGACCGTGGATGCATTGGTGAGTGAGGAGGGAGACCTTGTACTCAATCCTGAGTGTGATCGGGAGCCAGTGAAGGGATTTCAGGATGGGGGGTGATGTGGTCAAATTTTCGCACCCTCATCAGGATCCTGGCAGCGCAGTTCTGGATGTATTGCAGTCTCTGGATGCTCCTGCCAGGGATCCCGATGAGGAGTGCGTTACAGTAGTCCAGCCTGGAGGAGATAAAGGCGTGGACGAGCTTCTCTGCATCTGCCAAGGAGAGAGTTGGACGGAGTTTTGCAATGTTTCTGAGGTGGTAGAATGACGTCCTACAGAGGTGTTTGATGTGGGTGTCAAAGGTGAGTTGTGAGTCCATTTTGACACCCAGGTTGGTGACAGATGCAGAGAAGGGAATCGTTTGACCAGAGAATGAGATACTGGTGATGGTGGAAAGCGGAGCGGACCTGATGAATTGTGCCAACCAGGATGGCTTCTGTTTTGGAACTATTGAGTTGAAGGAAATTTAGCTTCATCCACGCCTCTATCTCCTCCAGGCAGGTGGTCAGTGTGGATGATAGTAAGGGTTTAGTGGTTTAGAAGTGGGGGTGGTTCCGTAAATAGAGCTGTGTGTCATCTGCGTTTAGTCAATGGTAGGATTAGTCCATGCTTTGGTGATGAGATTGCCCAGGGGAGTAGGTAAAGAGTGAAGAGGGTGGGACCTAACACCGAACCCTGAGGAACACCACAGGTGACATTGTGGGTGCGTGACTTTGCCTTTCCTAGGGCAATGTGCTCGGTACGGTTAGTCAGGTAGGAGGTGAACCATTTGAGTGCTTGTTCTGAAAGTCCAATAGTGTATTGCAGGCGATGGAGGAGAATACTGCGGTCAACCGTATCAAAAGCAGTGTAAGATCCAGTGAGGTAGTAAGGATGTGAACAGAGTCTGCTGCTCTCAGGAGATCATTGGTGACCCTGACAAAGCTGTTTCAGTGCTATGGCCAGGGCGAAACCCAGACTGAAACTAGTCAAAAAGGTTATTGAGTTTGAGGTGATCCTGTAGTTGTGCTGCTACTGTTTTTTCCAGAACTTTGGACAGAAATGGGAGATTAGAGATTGGCCTGTAGTTGGACAGGACTTCTGGATCCAGGGTGGGTTTCTTCAGTAGTGGTCTGATGAGGTCAGTCAGTTTTAAGTTTTTAAGTTTAAAATTCAAAAGCGTTTTAAAGAGCACATTTTCAGGAGCCTGCGATCAAAACAAGCGTTCACGGTCCCATTTATAGTTTGTATTTCAACAAAAGGTGATAGTGGCTAATGCTAACCTCATTTGATGTGCTTCATTCGTCAGTGAACCACAAAAAAAAAAACCAAAATTTATATTATAATTTATAATATAGTTTCCTCATCACAAACAGACCTGGAGTTGTGTTTTGTTTCATTCACACATGTCTAACACAAAAACCCTGAGTTCTTCGCTCAAACAAAACACGGTTCCACCTTATGATGTCATGTGGTGATACAGGAAGTGCTCCTCTGTGTTTTTAAACTAGAATCATTTGAATTTCAGTGTTTGAAGATAATTTTTGATGTCGAGTGTAATAATTTTGAAAAGGGGTCTGGAACTGGAAAATTTGATTTATGATATGGATTTCTATTTAAAAAAAAAAAAAAAAAAGCTTTGGAGATGTTGTAGACAGACTAAAAATAAAGAGTTACTCAAACTTGATGAAACAATGAAACACAACACAACCCCAGGTCTGTTTGTGATGAGGAAACATTATAAAAGAGATCAGAAAATAGTGTAATATGAGCATTTAAGCAATAGTAAAAAAAAAAAAAAAAAAATCACATTTGTTTATTTACAAATTATTTACTGACGGAGAAAATATTTTAAATTACTGCTTACTACTACTACTACTACTACTACTACTACTACTACTACTACTACTCGCCCTCCCCCCCGTGTTCTGTCGAAATGGACTGTCCTGTCGATATGACGTAATTTTCGTGCGCCTCACGCATTCCACACAAACAAGACTCTGTTTACTCGAACAACGCAGCGGTTCTTTTTCCAAATGTAGCTTCTTTATATTTAGCTCAGAGTTTGTTGCAATGGCAGACAAGAATCCACGAGCAGTTCGCCGCAAACGAAAGCCCGGGGTTGAGGTTATTGAAAGAAAAAGAAAACGGGATAAGGAGCGAAGCCAAACTAAGGTGATTCTTGGAGATTCCTTCCAGCGATGGCGCGCACTGAAGCGGGAGAAGGGACTAAAGACGGACGCGTTGGTCGCTAAATTTCTTCTGGACAGGTAACTTCTGCTTATCATTTCAAAACGTGCTTTATTTTGGTTTTGGATATTGGATATTCGACACATTCAAAGACATTTAACTTTTAATGAAGGATGGAACAATAACCTAAATATCGTGTCCGTCAATGTTCTCATAATGATATCGTGGACCATCACAATATGTCGAATTACAAGTTTCTTTGCTGAAATTAAGAGTTATCGTGCAGCAACAGCTAAAAAAAAAAAGACCGAGAACTACATAGACCATGATCCTTTGCTCCATTTCAGTGCAGACTACAAGAAGAAATAACAGTTCTAACACTTTTAAGTCTTAGTTTTTTGGATTAAGTCTTGTCAAGGCATTTTAAGAGGAAAAAGCAGCATATTAACCTCCACAAAATACCTCAATAAATATCAGACTGAGAGATTTGAATATTGTTACATTCCTAATCGTGAGTCTCCCCACCATATTGTGAGCTTTCCCATGATATTGCAATAAATATTGTACCATGAGGTTCATACTGTGACGATATCGTATCGTGAGACTTGGATATCATTACACCCCTACTTTTAATACATATCACAGATTTTTTTTGTCAAACAACTTGTGACGTCTTCATAATCATTCAAGGTACATATCACAAAAAAAAATCATACTATGAGCTGATTTAGTGCATATTAGTGTGAATTCAACACTTATTTAACTTGTGATGTACAGATGTGGACAAAATTGTTGGTACCTCTCTGGTAAGGAAAGAAAAATCAACAATGGTCAGTGTTCAATGTTGTTGGTTTTTATATATATATATATATATATATATATATATATATATATATATATATATATTATAATTATTGTCTTGTGATTTAAACCCTGGATGATTATGAAGACGTCACAAGTTGTTTGAAAAAAATCAGTGATAAGTATTAAAAGTTAAATGTCTTTGAATGTGTCAAATATCCTATCTCCAATATCAAACCAATTCAACGATGGTGAGTAGCGAACTTGTTTTCTAGGATACACTACTTCTTTAAAAACATAAATGTAAATTTTAAGTAATTGCTAAGATCTTGCACAGTGTACATGACTCTCACACAATAATTTAACTATAACTCTGAATGTCGTTGCAGCTATGATAATGTCACGTCTGCCCCACTACCTCAAACTCGATGGGTGAGACCCCCGCAGTTTTCCACCAATGTTCAGGAATTGTTCTCAGACAGGTAATAAGTTACAAAAATATGTTTTGTCTCCTGTTTTGATGGTTATTATTTCACTAAGTCCGTGTATCATTCGTTCATTCGTGTTTCAATATAAAAACGAAAACGAAAAAAAAAAAAACTATTTTCTTCATTATTTGTCTCCAAAACCAAAATGAAAAAACGGATAACGATTTGTATTTTCAGTTTTCGATTTTGTGTTTAATTGAAAAATGGAAAAAACAGATAAAGGCCGTTTATGTGACTTAAACTGCGATGCCAGACTTTTGCGCCGCATGTGGACTGAGACTGGGACCAGACCAGGACTGACACCGGGATCTGGTTTAGTCCTGGTTTAGGCCTGGGATCAGTCAAGGTTATGTCCTAGTCCCGGTCTCAGTCCTGGTCTGGTCCCGGTCTTAGTCCTGATCAGTCTACGCGGGCACACCTCCGGCTGTCCCGACACTCCTGGTTTAGACCTGGTTCATTCCTGGTTCAGTCCGGCATCGCAGTTTAAGTCACAGAATGTAACATGACACAGCGGTGAGTTCTGAAGAGACAATGGAGAAAAAACCTGCACAGACTGAATCACAATCTAAATTAACATTGAGTGGTTGGAGGATAGAAGTTGTAGTATTTTGATAAATGATATCACAGTAATCTAAAATGGGAAGAATCAATTGTGGGTTAACCTTTTTCCTGACAGAAAAGCTAAAACAATTGATGGGTTAATAAAGTAATTTTAAGTGGTATGACATTTTGTTTGTAATTCTGTTTGAAATTTTGAATTCTGATTCATTCTGTAATGTATGACTTGGTTCACTTTGTAACATTCTGTTTCCTCCACCTCCAGAGATGAACTGACTGAAAACATAGATGAGGAAGAATTCAACAGTCTCCAAAACACTACGTGTGTATTATTGTCATTTTAAGATTCCTGCATTTGTGGATTGATTGTAAATAACAATCATTGATGTTTTTAGTATCGACTGGGATGATAAAACCTGGACTCCAGAAATGGAAACACAATCACAGTTTTCCTCTGAAGAAGATGAAACAAAGGACTTTGACTCTGCCTCTGATGAGAGTCAAGATCTACACTACACACCACCAATTTGTCTGCGGTACTTAGTTTTTTTCCTAGACTCAACTGTATGTAAGACATTGGCTTGGTGAGAGTGTGAAATGTTTTACTCCAACCCCCGACACAAAAGAATGTACTTAGCACATATTGGGGGGTAGAAGACTGAGCCAATTGTTATTTTCTTGTCACACTGTGCTTAATGGCATTTGCATTTTCCCACTGCAGGGCTGGGGGTGCACTGAAACAACCATTTTGTGTCGACACATTGCCACAGATTCACATGGATGAAACGGTCCATGATGAGCCTGACGACTGTGAAACTGTGGAAGATGCCGTCCCTCCTGACACTGCTATGGCTGTTATTGAGAAAGACGTTTTGGGAAAACAAGCGTCCATCATCTATCATGACGTCTTGAAGCAGCTTCTAGATTACCTAATCCTACCTGTGGACAAATGCACAGCTCAGGACCCTATCTCAAAGGTGTCATGTAATGCACCAAGACCCTTTAAAGTTTCAGTGAGAAGAAGATGCACAGCTGTAATAGCAGAATGGGTGAGTCACTGGCAATAATCCACAATACAAAATTAACATATGGGAATAATAATACACAATATATACTATAATATCACTGGGAGAAGCTAGAAATGGAGTAGTTTTGTGGCAGTAGTAGTAAGAAGTAGTAGCAGGAGCTGTGGAAGTAGCAGCAACTGTGTATTCATAAGTCACATTATTTCATTTGTCTTATTTTGTTTTCCATAGATATGTCCAAATGGACACACCGTTTGGAACTGGAGCTCCCAGCGTTACTTTAAATGTGGAATGCTGGCGGGAGACTTCATGTTGGGTGTTAATGTCTTGTTGTCTGGAAGCAGCTTCCGAAAAGTGGCACTTCTCTTCAAATTTATGAATATGGGAATGATTGATCCCACAACATTCCACAAGATCCAAGATGACTTCTGTGTGGATAACATCACCAACTTCTGGAAGAAAGACACTGAAGGGATCATTAATGAGTTAAAAGAGAAGGACTCTGTTGTGTTGCTTGGTGAGTGATTGACACTTTATTACATACAGTTGCTAATATGAATTTGTCAAATGTCTTTCACAAACACTTACTCTTTGTTGAACTTTTGTTCTGCGCAAAGGTGATGGTCGGATGGATAGTCCAGGATTTTGTGCACAATACTGCACGTACACCATGATGGACAATGAAACAAAGAAGATTGTTTACATGCACAGCTCTGACAAACGAGAGACCCAAAGAAACTCCGTCACCGTGGAGAAGCACTGTTTCCTAAAATGCATGAAGGAAATCATGAAAGACTTGACAGTCAAAGAAGTTTGTACTGATGCACATTCTCAAATATCTTCACTGTTCAGTGCGTGGATTATATTTTGAAAATGCTTAGAGTCTGCAGAGAATAATAGTGATATAATTTGTGGATTTGTTCAACAGAGAGTGGAGAATACAAAGACAAAGGAATAAAACACTCACTGGACGTCTGGCATGGTGCTAAAACTCTCAGCAAAAAGATTTTGGCTGTATGTTTATTTTTTTAGTATGAATACATGTTTTTTATTTGTAAATCTTTTTTTTTTTTTTTTTTTTTACATTGTTTACTAATTTGTTTGTGTGATTAGGCTGGACGTCAAAAGGACTGCTCCTTGCTGCTCACCTGGAACAGGGATATAACAAACCACTTCTGGTTCTGCTGTAAAACGGCTGAAACATATGAACACTTCATGGTCAGTATAAAAGAAAGATTTAATTTCATGTCTGTTTGATTTACATTGGAGAAATTGCAGTTGACCACCTTTCAAACTGTTTCTACTCTGATGAATGAGAGATTATACAAAATGTCATGATTCATACCAGAATGGGATTACAGTAATAATCATATTTCTCATACTTCAGGATCTATGGACTGGACTTTTACATCATGTGACTGGTGTTCATCAGTGGTGCTTTGGCTCTTGTGATCATGACCTGTTGGAAAGCGAAAGGAACAAGCCACTGATTCCAAAAGACTCTGTGGCTCACCAGCGGCTACGTGATTTAATGCTGGATTTACGGTGGCTAAATACTGTCACAAAGTTCCTGTCTTTTAGGTAGGCTCATGTGTTACACAGAGATGGGTAAAGTAGAAGTACAAAGTGGTGATCCAAAGGGGAAAAAAATCAAGCAACGTTAATTGTAAGAGTGTAACGTCTGATTTATAATTTCAAGTTGATGTAGCTGGAAGAAACAAAAACACAAATGTGCCAATCATTTAATATTGTCAACACAAAGCTTTGTCAATTATAAACTCATTAGGGAAGAGTAATCTAAACTTTTACTCAAAGTAAATCTAACCCACTTCTGCTGTTACATTTGTAAACTTAGTGTTTTACTTGTAAACCAAAAAATTACCAGTATACACACATTGTCACACTAAGGTCGACTGCAGAGCTGGAGTCATTCCACAATCATGTCTCGATGTACGCTGGAAAACGCTTTGCATTCTCCAAGAAGGTTTATGAGGCACGAGTCCACTTGGCATCGCTGGACTACAACAATCACCTAAACAGAGAACCCAGGAGGAGAAAGGACGGCTCCACACAGTATGATTTCCCAAACAACAATCATATTTATACAGCATTTACATTTGAAAACATAATTTGGACATAGTTGAGTGTAAATTTATAACTGATTGTGTGTGTTTGTTATTTGTGTCTAGAAAAGGAAAGCTTTACAACAAGAGGACAAAGACGTGGCATCTGTACACACACAAAGCCCCAAAAGAGTACAAGTACATCCCCGATCTGCAGACACTCATACTCCAATCAAGACTTTTGTCCCTGAGAGGAATGGCTGATAGTTTCCCTTCAAAACCCGATGATCCACAAAGGCTTGGGCCTCTCACAGGTAACACTGCCCCAACAAAACAAGAGCAACGTGTCAGCAGAGGGCTATGTAAACTGGCACTACATCAATAAGAGCACATTTAAATAGGATATACTTATTTCTACAAATATCTACTGGTAGTAGAACATTTCATTCGTCGCACCTCATGTAAATATATTTGTTAGAGGTAGCAGTTCGGGATGCACCGATACTGATACTTCCTTTTATATACTCATTGTCGATACTAAGCACCGATACCACATTACAAAGTATCCCAGTTATTAGAAACCAGGATCCTACAGTTTTATTTGTATAATTTTCTATACAAATAAACTATATATGCCACTATACTAAAGTATTTTATATTTAAAATAAAAAAAATATTCATCACATAAATAAAGGAAATTAGGTTTGGTTGATTTCTTACTAATTATTCAAAATGCAATTGGACAATAAATATATTAAAGGTAGTTGGATAGATGTTGGTAGAGCGATTTGAGTTTGATCAAAGTTTGTTTCAAAAGAAAAAACATTTTTACAACTTCATGGACAAAAAAGACGCCCCATCACCTTTAAAGTAGACTGCGTGTCACAAGACTGCATGTGTAAGTGTAAGTGTGTATTCTCTTATCTCCTGCAGGTGTCCAGCTCCCCTCTCCGAGTCCTGCTCTGACTCCACAGATTAAAGAAGAACCCAACATCAAACAGGAGGAAGAACAGCTGCAAGTGTGAGTCTCAGACACTTTCAAACTGCAGTTCTTTATTTTGTTTTTCATTTCTAATACAAATATTCAGATTGGGTTTGAAATACACAAATGTATCTTATATTTTTCAGGTGTGTTCTAGCGTTTGGTGCTGTGAGCGTGAAGACAGAAGAGTCCTCACTGCTTCAACAAAGAGAAAGTGAGCAGAGAATGGACATCAAATCAGAGACACTGGTCTACAGAGTGGACACAAAGACAGAGGACATCAAATCAGAGACACTTGTCTACATAGACGACACACAAGGAGAGAACATCAAATCAGAGACACTTGTCTACATAGACGACACACAAGGAGAGAACATCAAATCAGAGACACTTGTCTACATAGACGACACACAAGGAGAGAACATCAAATCAGAGACACTTGTCTACATAGACGACACACAGGGAGAGGACATCAAAGCAGAGACACACATCCACTCAGAGACTGAGGGAGACACAGAGCACTCTTCTGACACTGACATTGATGAAGACTGGAGAGCTGATGGAAACTACCACAACCAAGAGACCAGAGGCAGACGCATCACTGCACAAAACTCACGTCTATTCCCCAGATACACATCTCCACAAGAGACCAGAGCCACTGTGAACACAGGAGACATGTCAGGAGCTGACGAAGGAGCTGACAAAGGACCTGAGAGCAAGATACGCACGTGCCCTGTTTGTAAAGAGAGTTTTGAGTCTCCATATAAACTACAAATACACAAGAGAGTTCACAGGGGAGAGGAACCACTCAGCTGTTCAATCTGTAAGAAAGAGTTTGCTGTAAGCTCTGATCTTAAGAAACATATGAGGACACACACGGGGGAGAGACCATTCACCTGTTCAGTTTGTAAGAAAACATTTTCCCAAAAGGGTCATCTTGAATTACATACGAGGATACATACAGGGGAGAAACCGTTCAGCTGTTCAGTCTGTAAGAAAACGTTTACCCGAAAGGATCATTTTGAAACACACATGTCAAGACACACAGGGGAGAAACGATTCAGCTGTTCAATCTGTTTGAAAGTGATTTCTGATAGTGCTAATTTCAAAAAACATTTGAAGACACACTCAGGGGAGAGACCTTTCAGCTGTTCAGTCTGTGAGAAAACATTTGCCCGAAAGGGTCATCTCAAAACACATATGATGACACACACAGGGGAGAGACCATACAGCTGTTCAGTTTGTAAGAAGACGTTTGTTGTAAACTCTAATCTCAAAATACATATGAGGACACACACAGGGGAGAAACCATTCAGCTGTTCAGTCTGTAAGAAAGTGTTTACTCAACGTTCTAATCTCAAAAAACATACGAGGACACACTTTAGACGAGTTCTTTAAATGGCCATAGCTAACGCACAAGCCGCCAGTGTTGTGCATGAACAAGTTCAAAAGAACACGTTCACTGAACACGTTCATTTTTCAGAGAACTTTGAACTGAATGCAACACATTTGTAATTCAAGAACTTGGACACAAATTTGTTCAAATTATTTGAGATGAACGACGTATGTCACTGTTGCGCTTCAGTTAAATATCGGAATTTGTTTTCGCCTGATGAGTCGACTGACAAGGTCTGCCCCCGCTTTTTAGGGCCTGGCACCACTGCACGAGTCAGCGTTTACGCGCGCAGCCACGCATCAACACGGCTCCACCAGCAGCTGCAGCAGGACGTACACGTGACACTGACTCTGTTTGTCAATGGGAAAGACGATCAAACTTGACTGTGAGCGTTTAGCCACTTGTACCAGGTCCACAGTGAAACTAACAGCTGAACAGACTTGTATTTACCTTCTGTACAGACTCACCACGGCAAACACAAGGATTTCAAAAGTGAATTTCAAAGCACTAATTAACAGTCTTTCTGGACCTGGGCTCCTTCACACGATACAGAACTGCCCCAGGAGGCTGTTACAGTGCTTATGGTTTTATATGTTGTAAAGTTATAAACTGGAAGTCAGTTTGAAAAATAAGTTCAAGTTTCATTTACATATCTCACCTAAAAATTAAATGAACTGAACTTTGAACTAGTTCATGAAAAGTGTGAACTTGTACAACACTGCAAGTCGCTACAACAGGAAGTTCTCATGTGGCTCTTCTGGCTCCTTCTGACTCCGGCTCCCATTGACTTATGCTGGAATATTAGGGCCCCTCTCTCTGTAACTGCTGCAGTGAGGCTCGTCATTTTGGTCTTAAAATGTTCGTATTAACTCGCTCTACATGATCCTGTTGTTTTTTTCTATTGTTTAAAAAAAGTCCTATTCATAAGCTTCATTTGAGTGGAGTTAAACGCTGTGGGTGAAGTCACACTCGCTTAGTCCACTTGTTTATACACTATGGGACGCACACAGAAAGTAGGAAGCATCATCTCACTCCACAAGAGAGAAGACAGAGAGAGAGACCTTACAGCTGATCAGCCTGTCGAAACACGTCTTCTGTCTGTAGTTCTCTGCACAGAACGCCAAAAATCCATTCATCTGTACATGTTTTTCTTTGCACCAGAGGGGAACTTTGTATTTGTCTGTATTACGATCAAATATGAGCTGTGGAGGGTTGAATAAATCACTTCTAATCATTTCTGCTTTTTATTTATTGTAGTTTATGTTTTTAGTCTACATTTACAATAGTTTTAGGTGTGTCAGTGTCATAAATTAGCTTCAGTATTATCGTTCATTGTCTATATTTTCTTCAAAACTATATCGTACTTCAAAATGTGTAATCCAGACAGGCCTGTTCATCTGTTCGGCCTGTTAGAACACTTTATCGTGTATATTCTCCATTACAAAATCACATTTAGTAGATTAGTATTGTCATGGTTAATTAGTTCATAGTTGAACTGAGACCTGTAGAAGAGTTAGAGGACACCACCCAAACCTGCAAACACAAAGAGTTAGAAACAAAATTACAAAATCCTAGTGTATTTCAGCAAAACAGTTTTATATTCAGCTTTGGGTCTTGGAGGGACACACAGTTCAGGTAAAATCTTCCATCAAGGTGCTCTGAGTGCATAACAGTTTTCCTTAATTATGCACTTATTTCAGTTTTAGTATTACCAACTGCCCTAAACCCAAACGCAATACAAGGACGCAAAACCGAGTGCCACTTGTGGAAATTAAACATTAAAATCTAGTCCACATTTAGACCAGATCAACCCACAAGAGGCCGCACAGTCTCCATAAAAGTGTATGTAAAATATGACACATTTGGACCAGTTTAGGCCCAAATCTGAGCCATTAAAATCCTTGTTTTGAGAGGACATGAGGTAAAAAATAAAAAGAAAGAATAGATGTTTTAGGATGACCATTGTACGAGTGGATGCATTGCATACTGTTTTAAATTTCCAGGACTGATGAGAGATTTTTATTTTCCAAGTAGGTTTTCATCTCATTTGAAACCTCTGATGACACCTTTCCACTTTTTTTTATTTTATTTGCATGTTTGAGTATTTTAGGGCAGGTCCTGTACCGTCCCCGTATCATTCATGTTTGGAAAGTGACCATTTAATTCCCACAAATGTACCGTTCATTTCAAAAAATTCTGAGTTATTGTGTTCCAGTTCATTGACGTAAGCTTGGTGTACATGTTTAAACCTTTTCATTGCAGTTTGAACGTTTGAAAAACACATTTTCCCCGCGGTTTCACCCTTTGTGATAAATTACATTTTCACACATCAAAATACCGAGAGATTTGATTGGAGAGACGTTTTGCTTTTGTTTCATGAGTTCTGTTTGTGGCATTATTTCCTTCATTTTTACCAGACAGTTTCGGGACACTAGGCCGCACCTTCATGTTTCCTTTTATAATCCACCTTTTTCTGTGAACCATCATTTAAAACACATCACAGTGAAATAGATTTCCTCTCAACAAAAGCATCATTATCATTTGAAACTCATCACATCATCACTTTATTTTTTTCAATCCACTTTGCACATTAAATAAATGTGAATCAGAGTGCGGAAGAACTATGCACCAGTAACAGCTTCATTCATCCAACAACATTTACAAACTAACACATTTTATTATTGCAGTAATGATTCTGTATCCACAAATAAGACTCACCTGGACTCGTAAGACTCACCTGGACTCGTAAGACTCACTTTGACTCGTAAGACTCACCTGGACTTGTAAGACTCACCTGGACTCGTAAGACTCACCTGGACACACGCCTTTTCTGTCTTTGTTGCTAAAAACGGGTCGCTGCCATGAGAGGAGCTTCCTTTGATATAAAGCAGCGTTTAAAGTGTTATCAAGAGTGACTTACGTGAAGCTGTCGACAAACAAAACGAGTTGGCTCGACCCCCGGTGCCAGGTCCTCTGGTGACAGGTACCTCACCTGTGCAGGGGAGTGCCATTTTTAAAAGACCACAGCATGCATCTGTGCTCACGTGACCCCTGCCCACCTGGCGGGAATCACCATGACAACTGTTCCAAGGTCTATCTATCTATCTGTCTGTCTGTCCCTCTATTCTATCTTCTGCTCCTCCACAGGAAAGTTTTGAAGAGACTCTGTGCAGTTTGTCACATGTCAGTGCATTGTGGAGGTTTATAAAGCCTCAGCTCAATAATATAAACCTTTATAAATGTCATAGGTTTCATTTTCGTGATAGTGTCAGTGTCTCTGTGAACTGCTCACACATAAAGTCTGAGGATAAAGTCTGAGCTTCACACAGAGCAGAAAGAACAATATTTATGTGAACAGTCTATGAACAGCACGAACGCTTCAGGCTTGAAGACTTTATCAGGACACAGGCTGTTTTATGATCAGAGGATCCATGTTTGGATGCAGCACCTTCTTTTTCAGTGAAAAATCCCTGAGCTGTCTGTTAAACATGAGGCTATTGCAGCAGTTCTTTAATCGCGCAAATAGAAAATCCTTAAATACTTCTGTCAGTCTAAATGATCTGCAAATAAAAGTCTCATATAGACTTGGTCCTATTCTGTGTAACAACTGCAAACCCTGGAGTCTAGACAAACATGTTCTGAAATGTCCCTGTGTGTCAGATGCCCTCCCCGTGTGTCAGAAATGCTACAGTCGGACTAGATCCAAACCCAGACGCCTGGACCAACGGAGAGCAGCTCTGGTTCAGGTCGGGCTCAGATGAGTTTCAGTGGGGAGTGGCATTATAAGAGGCTCAGTCGGAGCAGCGCTTTCTTCGGGAAAAACCAAGTGCGCGGAGCACGGGCCGCTCACAACAAAATAGTCCTGTAACAAACCAGACCAGATCCACGTTTCTGTTCTGCTTTGCTCCGCCTCGGACCCAGTCACGGCCCTCGAACACGGAGGACAGCGAACAATCTTACGGACCCAGCCGGTGTTCTGCAGAGTTTTTATTATAGATCCATGGTGTTCTGTCGAAATGGGCTGCTCCGTCGAAATGACGTGATTTTCGTGCGCCTCTCACGCGTTCCACACAAACAAGACTCGGTTTACTCCAACAACGCAGAGGTTCTTTTTCCAAATGTAGCTTCTTTATATTTAGCACAGAGTTTGTTGCAATGGCAGACAAGAATCCACGACCAGATCGCCGCAAACGAAAGTCCGGGTTTGAGGATGTTCAAAGAAATGGAGAAGAAGAAAAGGAGCGAGACCAAACTGAGGTGATTCTTGGAGATTCCTTCCAGCGATGGCGCGCACTGAAGCAGGAGAAGGGACTAAAGACGGACGCGTTGGTCGCTAAATTTCTTCTGGACAGGTAACTTCTGCTTATCATTTAAAAACGTGCTTTATTTCTAACGTTTTTCAGGACACAAAGGCGATATTCTCTATCTGAAAACATAATTTTCATGCAAACAAAAAGTCCGTTTGCAGCTGCTTGCTGTAGTAACTAGTTAGTTGTTAAAAACGTAAAATGTGAATTTAAAGTAATCACTAAGATTCCGTTCATTATTTATTTGTATTACAGATTGGGATTGAAATATATAAATGTATTTTATGTTTTTCAGGTGTGTCCCAGAGTTTAGTGGCGTGAGGGTGAAGACAGAAGAGTCCTCACTGCTTCAACAAAGAGAAACTGAGCAGAGAGAGGACACACAGGGAGAGGACATCAGCACAGAGGCACACGTCCACTCAGAGACTGAGGGAGACACAGAGCACTCTTCTGCTGACAGTGATGAAGACTGGAGAGCTCCATTCAGCTGTTCAGCTGCACACACAGACACAGGCCACCACAACCAAGAGACCAGAGCCACTGTGAACACAGGAGAGGAACCATACAGCTGTTCAGTCTGTAAGAAAGTGTTTTCTCTACACTTTCATCTTAAAACACTTCTGAGAACACACACGGGGGAGAAACCATTCAGTTGTTCAGTTTTGGCAAACCTATGTCTTAAATAAAGTTGTCCCCAAAAGTCTATTTCATCAATGTCATTCAGTAAAACAAGCTGTCGTGTGTTGGAGTTCACCTCGGTGAACAAGAGGGACACGTCCCTGCGCCACTGAGGCGGTTTGCAGCCAAGTGTGAAGCGGCTGGGATGAGGATCACCTCTTCCAAATCCAAGGCCATGGTTCGCGACCAAAAAAACAGTGGGTGGGGGGGTCCCTGCCTCAACCTCCAGTGGAGGAGTTCAAGTATCTCGGGGTCTTGTTCTCAAGTGAGGGGAGGACGGAGCGTGAGATTGACAGGTGGACAGGTGCAGCGTTGGCAGTGATGTGGTCACTGTATCGGTGGTAAAGAGGGGAGTTGAGGCGAAAGGCAAAGCTCTCGATTTACCGTCAATCTCTGTTCCTCCCCTCACCTCTGGTCATGAGCTCTGGGTAATGACCGACAGGACGAGATCGTAGATACAAGCGGCCGAAATGAGTTTCCTCCGCAGGGTGGCTGGGCGCTCCCTTAGAGATAGGGTGAGGAGCTCAGTCACACGGGAGGAGCTCGGAGTAGAGCCACTGCTCCTCCACATTGAAAGGAGCAGCTGAGGCTCTGGCATCTGTTCCGGATGCCTTCTGGGCGTCTCCCTCTGGAGATGTTCCGGGCATGTTCCACTAGGAGGAGGCCCTGGGGAAGACCCAGGACACACTGGAGGGACTATGTCTCTCGGCTGACCTGGGAACACCTTGGAGTCCCCCCGGAGGAGCTGGAAGAAGTGTCTGGGGTGAAGGAAGTCTGAGAGTCCCTGCTTAGACTACTACTCCCGTGACCCGGCCCTGGATAAGCGGAAGAAAATGGATGGATTTGAAATCAGAGCTTGGTGTGATCAACACTGATGCTTTTGTTTCTGTTTGATCAAGTATAAACCAGTTTACAAAATGTATAAAAAAATTAATTTGGCAACACAAAATATTTCATTCAGTGAAATGGAATTTGTCATTTGGTTAAACAGACCTGTGACTGTTGTAAGTTACATATCAAAAATCTCTGCTATTCTTTTACAATTTGATGTGTATTATTTACTATACAAATAAAACTATATATGCTACTATATTAAAGTATTTTACATTTTAAATTAAAATGATTAATCACATCAATAATAGAAATTAGTTTTGGTCGATTAATTAGTAATTCATCAAAATGCAGTTGGACAAAAAATATATTAAAGGTTGTTAGAGTTTTATCAAAGTTTGTTTCAAAAGAAAAGCAATTTTTTTTGTCTTTCAATTGAAACATATTTCAGTGACCAGCCAGACTTGGCCAAGATTGTCCTGGCTGAGGGAGGCCAATAAGATAAGTTTCGGGTTGTTTGGGTTTTGGTTGGAGCAGCTCTGCTCTTTTCTACAACAGCTCTGATTGCTTCTGTCTTGGTCTCAAGTTCTGCTCACCCCCTTTGTAAAGCATCCAGTCCCTGACATGTTCTCAATACTGTGCTAATACTAACCCAAGGCCAAAGTCCCAACCAATCTGCCAAATAAAAAAATGAATGACAGAAAAGACGCCCCATTACCGTTAAAGTCGACTACAGACAAATTCAGAGTGTTTGTGTCACAAGACTGCACAAGTATGTGTAAGTGTGTATTCTCTTATCTCCTGCAGGTGTCCAGCTCCCCTCTCCAAGTCCTGCTCTGACTCCACAGATTAAAGAAGAACCCAACATCAAACAGGAGGAAGAACAGCTGCAAGTGTGAGTCTCAGACACTTTCAAACTGCAATTCTTTATTTTGTTAATTTGTATTACAAATATTCAGATTGGGTTTGAAATATTCAAATGTATCTTATATTTTTCAGTTCTGTCCCAGAGTTTACTGTTGTGACTGTTAAAACAGAAGAGTCCTCAGAGGACATCAAAGCAGAGACATTTGTCTACATAGATGACACACAGGGAGAGGACATCAAATCAGAGATGCACGTCCACTCAGAGACTGAGGAAGACACAGAGCACTCTTCTGACACTGACACTGATGAAGACTGGAGAGCTCCACTCAGCTGTTTACCTGCACACATGGACACAGGGGCTGATGGAAACAACCAAGAGACTAGAGTCACTGTGAACAATGGAGACATGTCGGGAGTTGGTGAAGGAGCTGAGAGGAGGAAACACGAGTGCCCTGTTTGTAAAGAGAAACTTGCATCTACATATAAACTACAAATACACAGGAGAGTTCACATGGGGGAGGAATCATTCAGCTGTTCAGTCTGTACAAAAGTGTTTGCTCTACCCTCTGATCTTAAAAAACATATAAGAAGACACACAGGGGAGAAACCATTCAGCTGTACAATCTGTAAGAAAGTGTTTGCTGATAGTTCTAGTCTCAAACCACATATGAGGACACACACAGGAGAGAAACCATTCAGCTGTACAGTCTGTCAGAAAGTGTTTGCTTTACGCTCTAATCTCAAAACACACATGCTGACACACACAGGGGAGAAACCTTTCAGCTGTCCTGTTTGTCAGAAAGTATTTGCTCTACGCTCTCATCTTAAACCACATATGAGGACACACACAGGAGAGAAACCTTTCAGCTGTTCTGTCTGTCAGAAAGGGTTTGCTCTAAGCTCTCATCTCAAAACACACATGATGATACACACAGGGGAGAAACCTTTTAGCTGCTCGGTCTGTACGAAACCGTTTTCTGTGAGCTCTCATCTCAAAAAACACATGAGGACACACACAGGAGAGAAACCTTTCAGCTGTACAGTCTGTAAGAAAGCATTTGCTGTAAACTCTGATCTCAAAAAACATATGATGACACACACAGGGGAGAAACCATTCAGCTGTTCAATTTGTAAGCAAGCGTTTGCTCGAAAGGCTCATCTTGAAACACATACGAGGACACACACAGGGGAGAAACCATACAGCTGTTCTGTCTGTGAGAAAGTGTTTGCTGATACTTCTAGTCTCACCAAACATACGAGGGCGCACCATAGCCTGCAGATATCAGAGGACAGAGCCAACGCACAAGCCGCTACAACAGGAAGTTCTCATGTGGCTCTTCCGGCTCCTTCTGACTCCGGCTCCCATTGATTTACACTGGAATATTAGGGCCCCTTTCTCTGTAACTGCTGCTGTGAGCCTCGTCATTTTGGTCTTAAAATGTTCATATTAACCCGCTCGACATGATCCTGGTGTTTTTTCCGTTGTTTAAAAAAAAGTCAGAGCCTGGCTTCAAATTCGCCCCTGTAACCGTGGGCATCGTGAACTTCATTTGAGGGGAACTGAACGCTGTGGGTGACGTCAAACTCGCTTAGTCCGCTTGTTTATACACTCCATGGAACACACATAGGACATTTCAGTTTGTGTTTTTGTTGCGTTTTATTCTACATTTACAATACATGCATCATGAATTTCGGACTTCCGGTCATTGCGTACTAGGAAGGATTTTTCGAAAAAGTGAGCATCAAACCTCCATGTTTGTTTTCCCATTGGGATGTGTCTATTGACAAAGTCGATCTTTTCAAGTCTTTTGAACCATATCACTTTTGTTTCTGGTTCTGATATTGTCATATTTTAGTTTTGGGATTTGGACATCGTAATTGTGTGGTTGTTGGATCCTAACAGCGGAAAACGGCTCGAGAAATGGGCTTCGGACAGTTTGCGAACTCTATAACTGCAGAAAGGAATCAGATGTGTGTGACTGCAAACCTCTGTTCAAACTGTTTCTCTTCCCAACAGAATTGAAAAATAGTGAAAGGTGAAGGCGATGGGCAGGATTGATCCACAGGAAGGACCAAAAAAGTAACCTTTGGCTGCCTAAATCATCCAGAGTTTGCAGAGAACATTTTGTATGTGGAGCGATCAACCTTGGTGTTACGAATTAAAAAAGTCAACGCCAAAGCAAAAGGCACCAGCTGTTCACCAAGAACACCTTCCACTGCAAAGAGACCAAGACGTGATGTTTCTGTAAAACCAGAAGAACAAGAAAGTGCAGCTCAGTCTGTTTGTCTTCTGCACCTCTCACTTAACAAACAGGATTTTGCTTTGTTGTCACTCCACATACAAAATGTTCTCTGCAAACTCGGTATGATTTCTTAGGCAGTCAAAGGTTTCATTTTTGGTCCTTCCTGTGGATCAATCCTGCCCATCACCTTCACCTTTCACTATTTTTCAATTCCGTTGGGAAGAAAAACAGTTTGAACAGAGGTTTGAGTCACACACATCTGATTCACTTTTGCATTTATGGAGTTCACAAACAAATTTCTCAAGCCGTTTTCCACTTTTAGGATCCAACAACCACACAATTACGATGTCCAAATCCCAAAACTAAAATATGACAATATCAGAACCAGAAACAAAAGTGATATGGTTCAAAAGACTTGAAAAGATCGACTTTGTCAATAGACACATCCCACTGGGAAAACAAACATGGAGGTTTGATGCTCACTTTTTCAGAAAATCCTTCCCAGTATGAATTGCACGAAGACCGGAAGTCCAAAATACGTGATGCATGTACAGCTTTTACGGCTACACTTGCTGTTGTGTCAGTGGCATAAACTAGTTTCAGTATTATTGTTTATTCTCTATATTTTCTTCAAAAATACAGTATATTGTACTTCAAAATGTGTAATCTGTTCAGCCTGTTAGAACACTTTATTGTTATATATATTCTCTATTACAAAATCACATTTTATTTTTTACTTTTTGTCCCAAGATACTACTTCATTCTGTTTTTTATTTATATTTCATGTTTTTTTTATTTATACATTATATTAACTTAAGAGCTAAGATGGATTATAAATATACAAGATTTTGGTGTGAATTTTTTCCACCATAATCCAAAGTATTCAAGTAAAAAAACATTGCTCTTCATGTTGTTTGCACTGAAATGAATCATGGGAGATGTAGTTCCCAATGTTTATAAGTTGTCGCTACTATAAAACCTGCATTTAAGTAAAGGAACTTGTGATTCGATATATTGTGACAGCCGGCGATATTATTGTGAGACTTTTGACGATACGATATCACGATATTTCGGTTCTTGTTACATCCCTATTGTATATTAACTAATAAACCGAATCAGTTCACTGGTGTTGTTCCAAGGATTTTAAACACATTTGTATCATGACATGTCAAACAGGACTCCAAATCACCAGACCCTATTAAAAAAAGTTAAAAAGTGAAGGCTTACAGTATTGTTACTCACAAGAAATGATGTAGTGTATGATATTGAATATTATAGTAATAGTAATAGTAATAGTATTTCTGGGTTTCAGACGACATCCCAACTTTTTATGTCAATATTAATTAATACAGATGGAGGCAGTTAAAATTAATATTGTCAAAATGTAAAATGATCTTGTAATAGAATAATACTGTCATTTCTTGGGTTTAGTCAATAATTGAAAACACCAGGTTCAGTATTTGTGACTTTACCTTTTGGATACTTCAAGGTAAAGTACAATATAATCAAAGTGGAAATCTGCCCCGTCTGGGAGTTTGATCATCTCATTGTAGAATCTGAAAACCACCAACAGAGGCAGTATGGTTAAAGAGTTTCAGTGCTGTCCCTTCCTGCACCACCAGAGGGCGCCACACTGAGAGAAGCCACTCCTGCAGGACCCAGGTCCGTCCACGTCTCTAAAGATCAAAATGTTCTGCGGCTTCATAACGTTACAAGGTGGAGAAGTTTTCAACTTAACAGCTCCTTTTACCATTAGTTCAGTAGAAATTGGCAATTCTAGAGCTAAAATTATCCAACCATCCATTTTCTTCCACTTATCCGGGGCCAAGTCGCGGGAGCAGCAGTCCAAGCAGGGACTCTCAGACTTCCTTCACCCCAGACACTTCTTTCAGCTCCTCCGGAGACATAGTCCCTCCAGCGTGTCCTGGGTCTTCCCCGGGGCCTCCTCCTGGTGGAACATGCCCGCAACACCTCCAGAGGGGAGACGTCCAGAAGGCATCAGAACAGATGCCCGAGCCTCAGCTGCTCCTCTTGACTTGGAAGAGCAGCGACTCTACTCCGAGCTCCTCTTTTGTGACTGAGCTCCTCACCCTATCGCTAAGGGAGCACCCAGCCACCCTGCGGAGGAAACTAATTTGTGCCTTTTGTATCCGCGGTCTCTTCCTGTCAGTCATTACCCAGAGCTCATGACCAGAGGTGAGGGGAGGAACGTAGATTGACGGTAAATTGAGAGCTTTGTCTTTGGGCTCAGCTCCCTCCCACAATGGTCCGATACAGCGACAGCATCACTACTCAGATCCACCTGTCAATCTCACTCCCCTCACTCAAGAACAAGACCCCGAGATACTTGAACTCCTCCACTTGAGGCAGAGACTCTCCACCCACCCGGAGACGACAAGACGCCTTTTTCCGGTGGAGAACCACGACCTCAGACTTGGAAGAGCTGATCTTCATCCCAGACACTTCACACTCGGCTCAAACTGCCCCATTGCTGCAGGTTCTGGTCTGATCAAGCCAACAGGACAAACATCATCTGCCTGCGGTTTATTTGTCTGGCTTTGTTATCTCATGTGTGCCTTTTCACCTCTAACCATCTTTTCCATGGTGGGTATTGTTTGTCATGGCTCTTACAGCCGAGCACCTCCAGGATCACTGCTGCTGAAGTGGAGATCAGCTCATTGGTTTCAGTGTTGCGTCCACATCGTCTAGGAGACTATCTATCTATCTATCTATCTATCTATCTATCTATCTATCTATCTATCTATCTATCTATCTATCTATCTATCTATCTAGATCAGGGGTGTCCAAACTTTTTTCATCAAGGGCCACATATCTAAACACAGACGAGGCAGAGGGTTGATCGAGGGCTCTGGACTGGTGCTCAATACAGTAAATAATTGAAATATGTGCATGTTTAACACATTAGAATGATCCATCAGTCTTTATTCAGGCTAAGATCCTTAAAATCACACACCAAATATTAAATATGAGCTTTATCAAGGTAGATCTTCAAAAAAAAATTGCAGTAAAAAGATAATTTTTAATTGATACAAAGTAATTTAGGCCAATTCACCTGGAAGCCTGTGGGCCAAGAAAAATTTGTCTGAGGGCCGCATTTGGCCCACGGGCCATAGTTTGGACATGCCTGATCTAGATGGATAGATAGATAGATAGATAGATAGATAGATAGATAGATAGATAGATAGATAGATAGATAGATAGATAGATAGATAGATAGATAGATAGATAGATAGATAAAGATATTGGGAACATAGGGGAAGAAAAATTAATGAGATGAAACAAATGAAGAGCCAGAGCAGAGTGTCCACGGGCTCCTGTTCTGTGTAACAACTGCAAACCCTGTAGTTTAAACAAACATGAAATGTCCCCGTGTGTCAGATGCCCTCCCCGTGTGTCAGAAATGCTACAGTCGGACTAGATCCAAACCCAGACGCCTGGACCAGCGGAGAGCAGCTCTGGTTCAGGTCGGGCTCAGATGAGTTTCAGTGGGGAGTGGCATTGTAAGAGGCTCAGACGGAGCAGCGCTTTCTTCGGGAAAAACCAAGTGCGCGGAGCACGGGCCGCTCACAACAAAATAGTCCTGTAACAAACCAGACCGGATCCACGTTTCTGTTCTGCTTTGCTCCGCCTCGGACCCAGTCACGGCCCTCGAACACGGAGGACAGCGAACAATCTTACGGACCCAGCCGGTGTTCTGCAGAGTTTTTATTATAGATCCATGGTGTTCTGTCGAAATGGGCTGCCCCGTCGAAATGACGTGATTTTCGTGCGCCTCTCACGCGTTCCACACAAACAAGACTCGGTTTACTCAAACAACGCAGAGGTTCTGTTTCCAATGTAGCTTCTTTACATTTAGCACAGAGTTTGTTGCAATGGCAGACAAGAATCCACGACCAGATCGCCGCAAACGAAAGTCCGGGTTTGAGGATGTTCAAATAAATGGAGAAGAAGAAAAGGAGCGAGGCCAAACTGAGGTGATTCTTGGAGATTCCTTCCAGCGATGGCGCGCACTGAAGCAGGAGAAGGGACTAAAGACGGACGCGTTGGTCGCTAAATTTCTTCTGGACAGGTAACTTCTGCTTATCATTTAAAAACGTGCTTTATTTCTAACGTTTTTCAGGACACGAAGGCGATATCCTGTATCTGAAAACGTAATTTTCATGCAAACAAAAAGTCCGTTTGCAGCTGTTTGTTGTAGTAACTAGTTAGTTACTGTTGTTAAAAACGTAAAATGTAAATTTAAAATAATCACTAAGATTTCATTCATTATTTATTTATTTGTATTACAGATTGGGTTTGAAATGTATAAATGTATTTTATGTTTTTCAGTTCTGTCCCAGAGTTTAGTGGTGTGAGGGTGAAGACAGAAGAGTCCTCACTGCTTCAACAAAGAGAAACTGAGCAGAGAGAGGACACACAGGGAGAGGACATCAGCACAGAGACACACGTCCACTCAGAGACTGAGGGAGACACAGAGCACTCTTCTGACGCTGATGAAGACTGGAGAGCTCCATTCAGCTGTTCACCTGCCCACATGGACATAGGGGCTGATGGAAGTATATCACATTTAAATTAAATTACATTTAAATGAAAATGATTAATCACATAAATAGTCGATTAATTAGTAATTCATCAAAATGTAGTTGGACAATAAATATATTAAAGGTAGTTAGACTGATGTGGTTAGTGTGGTTTGGTTTTGGAGTTTTATCAGTTTGTTTCAAAAGTAAAGTCATTTTTTTGTATTTTAATTGGACTTGCCCAAGACTGTCCTGGCTGTGGGAGACCAATAAGATAAGATTCGGGTTGTTTGGGTTTTGGGTGGAGCAGCTCTGCTCTTTTCCACAACAGCTCTGATTGGTTCTGTCTTGGTCTCAAGTTCTGCTCACCCCCTTTGTAGGATGCTTTACAAAGGGGGTGAGCAGAACTTGAGACATCCCAGTCCCATGTTCTCAATACTGCGCTCCAAGGCCAAAGTCCCAACCAATTTGCCAGATAAAAATGATAAAATATACACTTACATATAGCAGAAAATCTACTCATTTTCTATGCCATTATATTTTAATTTTTTGAGCTTTTGAAAACTGAATAATGTCATTTGACCCATTTATAACTTCATGGACAGAAAAGACACCCCATCACCTTTAAAGTCGACTACAGACAAGTTCACAGTGTTCATGTCACAATACTGCCCAAGTATGTGTAAGTGTGTATTCTCTTATCTCCTGCAGGTGTCCAGCTCCCCTCTCTGAGTCCTGGTCTGACTCCACAGATTAAAGAAGAACCCAATCAAACAGGAGGAAGAACAGCTGCAAGTGTGAGTCTCAGACACTTTCAAACTGCAATTCTTTAGTTTCTTATTCATTTCTATTTAGTGATGGTCAACTGAGACGGAGCTCCGGAGCACGTCTCGTTCTTTCTGAAACAAATTGCTCCGGAGCACTGCCTCGGAGCTCGTCTCGCAGCAGCCGCTCACGTGACCAAAGTGTGGAAGTGTCGGTTTGTCCCCCAGTTACTGCTTCTCTCTGTGTGTCAATCGCTTCAGTGTATCGAAGCCTTTCATTGGCTCGGCGAATGTTCCGCTCTGCGATTGGTTCAGAGTGTTCAGCGCACTTCTGTGGTTTGACAAGCGCTAAACTGCTACAGTATAAAAGATGCACCAGTATTTCTTAAAAATGTTGGGTAGTGAGGAGTATTGTGTGACGTTAGTGGTGATTTTGGCGACTTTTGACATTTGTTTCATTTTCGATGGCATCTACAAGTGGAAAAAAGCGATCCATGGTCTGGGATCTCTTTGATCTAATGCCACCTAACAAGGTAACACCTCTTTTCTTATTTACAGCATGATATTTATGTTGCTATTTACATATTATTTTAAATCATCATTATTATTGTTGTTGTTAGGTACGGTGTATGCTCTGCTCACAAGTATTGTCTTACACTAACAATACTTCATCGATGCTGAGACACCTGCGTGCCAGGCACAATAATGACCAGAGCCAGCAGTCCTCCACAACCCTGGCAACAGCGGCCATTATCCTCATGGTAAGTTATATATTTATTTCAATTATATTCCCGTAATTTATGTGGCTGTTTTTTCATATAAAGGCTACATATTAAGTAAGTATAGCCTTCTCATATGAACACACTTCTTTTACAGTCTCCAAAAAGAAGATGCTAGATGAGGCCATTGTTGACATGATTATTAAAGATGGCCAACCGTTCTCTATGGTTGAAGGAGAGGGATTCACCAACCTGATGAAAATATCAGATCCTCAGTACAAAGTTCCATGCCGCAAAACTGTAAAAACAATGGTGGAAAAACGCTACCAACAAAACAAAAAGAAGGCTGAAGAAGATTTAAAGAAAGCTTCTGCTGTGAGTTTGACCGCAGACATGTGGACGTCCACAAATATGGACGCATACCTGGGTGTGACCTGTCATTATCTTTCTGATGACCTTGAATTATCAACTGTACTTTTAGGGGTACAGTACTTTCCCGTGACCCACACAGCAGCTCATATTGCAGAAGCAGCATCGACGATGATGGCCGAGTGGGGAATAGCCGATAAAGTGTGTGCCGTGGTTACTGATGGGGCCCGCAACATTGTGACAAGTGTTAATCGTTTATCAATTCAAAATATTCATTGTTTTGCTCACTTGTTGAATCTTGTTGTAAAAAAATCTATTTCCCAAACGTCCGAGCTGGAAACAATGCGCAGCAAAGCTCGCAAAATTGTTGGCCACTTTAAATCAAACTGTACAGCAAAGGAGAAGCTGGCTGTCACTCAATCCAACATGGGCATGCCACAGTTGAAGCTGGTCCAGGAGGTAGAAACCAGGTGGAATAGCACCTTTGCCATGTTTCAAACGATGTATGAGCAGAGGGAACCACTTGGCGCTGCCCTTGCATCCCTGACATCAACGTCCAACTTAACACCGTTTAGCGCTGAGGATTATGATGCAATAAACCAGTGCTTAAAGGTGTTGAGGCCGTTCAACCAAGCAACATTGGAGCTGTGTGGGGAGAACAGTGTGTCAGGGTCTAAAGTCATACCCATTACAAAAATGTTAACTCATGTAATTACTGTTGAGTGCACCCAGATGGATGATGGTGTTGGAGCTACACTAGCCACCCACCTAAAAAATAATCTAAAACAGAAAATGAGCGGCTTGGAGAAAGTCCCCTCCCTGTCGTTTGGCAACTATACTGGATCCACGTTTCAAAGAAGTTGCATTTTGCAGCCCGTCCAATGCGCAGGCCGCGGTTGAGAGACTGTCACGGGAATGTGCCAGCTTGATTGAACTCAAGACTCAGGGTGAAGTTCAACCACAGCCCTCTCCAGCCCCGAGTGACGATGACAGTCTGTGGGCTTTACTGGACAGCCACGTCGTTGCTCAGCAAACCAGCCCTGCATCTGCCAGTGCCACTGAAGAAATCCAGAGGTAGTGTTTCTGCTGACACTTGTGCTATTCATCAAGGTTATATATGGTGTACACATTTTATGCTTTTCTATCTTGCTTTCTAGATACTTGAAGGAACAACATATTCCCAGATGCGAGGACCCCTTAAAATACTGGGAATCACATAAAATACAATATCCTAATCTGTGGAGACTGGCTCAAAAATATCTTTGTATACCGGCATCCTCTGTTCCATGTGAGAGAATTTTTTCCAAAGCTGGTGAGATAATGAGCCAAAAAAGATGTAGACTAAAGCCTTCAACTGTAGAAAAACTTCTATTTCTTAATAAAGACATGTGATATATAAATAGTTTTATTTCTTTTTTAAATGTTCAAAATAGAATATATACTATTTATGACTTGTAATAAAAAAGAAAATAGAGTTTGGGGTTCCCAAATCATGGGTTGTGTTCTGGTTTGCAATGGTTAAATTTGTCCACTAGAGGTCAGTGTTTCTCCGAGGCCTCAGACACGTCGGACTATTTGAGACAATATTGAGACTGAGGTGTCAATGCTTCACGAGGCTCCATTCGCTCATCACTAATCATCTCACTCCACAAGAGAGAAGACCGAGAGACAGAGACCTTACAGCTGATCAGCCTGGAAGAACATGTTTTCTATCAGGAGTTCTTTGCCTAGAAGAATGTAAAAAAAAAAAAAAAATATCCATTCATCTGTACATGTTTTTCTTTGCACTAGTGGGCACTTTGAATGTTTCTGTACTATGATCACATTTGAGCCGTGGAGGGTTGAATAAATCACTTCTAAATCTAATTCTGCTTTTTATTTTTTCAGTTTGTGTTTTTGTTGTGTTTTATTCCACATTTAAAATATTTTTTTACGGCTACACCTGCTGTTGTGTCAGTGTCATGAATTAGTTTCAGTATTATGGTTCATTGTCTGTATTTACTTCAAAAATATATCGTACTTCAAAATGTGTAATCCAGAAATGTGTGATCCAGACAAGCCTGTTCATGTGTTCAGCCTGTTAGAACACTTTATCATATGTATATGATAATATGTATATTCTGGTCTCTGTTACAAAATCACATTTTTATTTTTTTTTTTACTTTTTGTTCCAAGATGCTACTTCATTCTGTTTTTTTATTTATTTATACATTATTTTATCTTAAGGGCTAAGTTTGATTATAAATAAGTTAAATTGTGACCGTCATGACAGGACAAGCCCCTACACCGGGCGAACCACCGGAACAGAACTGAAGTGGCTGATATCAAGAAATCCTACAAATGTCTTGAGAGGTCTGAAGGACACAGAGGCTCATCCTGGAGCACAGGAGCAGGACCTGAGCACTCGAGTCATAGAGCGCGGAGCACGGGCCGCTCACAACAAAATAGTCCTGTAACAAACCAGACCGGATCCACGTTTCTGTTCTGCTTTGCTCCGCCTCGGACCCAGTCACGGCCCTCGAACACGGAGGACAGCGAACAATCTTACGGACCCAGCCGGTGTTCTGCAGAGTTTTTATTATAGATCCATGGTGTTCTGTCGAAATGGGCTGCTCCGTCGAAATGACGTGATTTTCGTGCGCCTCTCACGCGTTCCACACAACAAGACTCGGTTTACTCAAACAACGCAGAGGTTCTTTTTCCAAATGTAGCTTCTTTACATTTAGCACAGAGTTTGTTGCAATGGCAGACAAGAATCCACGACCAGTTCGCGGCAGAAGAAAGTCCGGGTTTGAGGATGTTCAAAGAAATGGAGAAGAAGAAAAGGAGCGAGGCCAAACTGAGGTGATTCTTGGAGATTCCTTCCAGCGATGGCGCGCACTGAAGCAGGAGAAGGGACTAAAGACGGACGCGTTGGTCGCTAAATTTCTTCTGGACAGGTAACTTCTGCTTATCATTTAAAAACTTGCTTTATTTCTAACGTTTTTCAGGACACGAAGGCGATATCCTGTATCTGAAAACGTAATTTTCATGCAAAGAAAAAGTCCGTTTGCTGCTGCTTGTTGTAGTAGGAACTAGTTATTGTTAAAAACGTAAATGTAAATTTAAAGTAATCATTAACATTTCATTCATTATTTATTTCTATTACAAATATTCATTGGGTTTGAAATATATAAATGTATTTTATGTTTTTCAGGTGTGCCCCAGAGTTTAGTGGTGTGAGCGTGAAGACAGAAGAGTCCTCACTGCTTCAACAAAGAGAAACTGAGCAGAGAGATGACACACAGGGAGAGGACATCAAATCAGAGACACACGTCCACTCTGATACTGAGGGAGACACAGAGCACTCTTCTGACATTGACAGTGATGAAGACTGGAGAGCTCCATTCAGCTGTTCAGGTGCACACACACAGGCCACCACAACCAAGAGACCAGAGCCACTGTGAACACAGGAGAGGAACCATACAGCTGTTCAGTCTGTAAGAAAGTGTTTTCTCTACACTTTCATCTTAAAACACTTCTGAGGACACACACAGGGGAGAAACCATTCAGTTGTTCAGTTTGGACAAACCTATGTCTTAAATAAAGTTGTCCCCAAAAGCCTATTTCATCAATGTCATTCAGTAAAACAAAGTTAAAGGGCAAATTTGAAAAATAATCTGAGATCTCTCCTCATGTATCATGTAATGACATCACTCTAAGGACCCTGCAGGAGTCTAAAGTGGAGACAAGATTTAGATTAGGCTTTTTTGTTTTTGCTGGTGACACTTATATATACCAGAAAATCTATACATTTTCTCTGCCATTATATTTTAATTTCTTGAGCTTCTGAAAACTGCAAAATGTCATTTGACCCATTTATAACTTCATGGACAAAAAAGACGCCCCATCACCTTTAAAGCAGACTACAGACAAGTTCACAGAGTGTTTGTGTCGCAAGACTGCACGTGCATGTGTAAGTGTGTATTCTCTTACCTCCTGCAGGTGTCCAGCTCCCCTCTTCGAGTCCTGCTCTGACTCCACAGATTAAAGAAGAACCCAACATCAAACAGGAGGAAGAGCAGCTGCAAGTGTGAGTCTCAGGCACTTTCAAACTGCAATTCTTTATTTTGTTATTCATTTCTATTACAAATATTCAGATTGGGTTTGAAATATTCAAATGTATCTTTTATTTTTCAGTTCTGTCCCAGAGTTTACTGTTGTGACTGTTAAAACAGAAGAGTCCTCAGAGGACATTGAAGTAGAGACATTTGTCTACACATCGGACACAGAGGAAGAGGACATCATAGCAGAGACATTTGTCTACATAGAGGACACAGAAGAAGAGGACATTGAGGCAGAGACACACATCCACTCAGAGACTGAGGAAGACACAGAGCACTCTTCTGACACTGACACTGATGAAGACTGGAGAGCTCCACTCAACTGTTTACCTGCACACATGGACACAGGGGCTGATGGAAGCCACCAAAACCAAGAGACCAGAGTCACTGTGAACAATGGAGACATGTCAGGAGCTGATGAAGGAGCTGAGAGCAGGAAACATGAGTGCCCTGTTTGTAAAGAGAGATTTGGATCTACATATAAACTTCAAATACACAGGAGAGTTCACACAGGACGGGAGTCATTCAGCTGTTCAATCTGTAAGAAAGAGTTTACAGGAAACTCTCATCTCCAAAAACATATGAGGACACACACAGGAGAGAAACCATTCAGTTGTTCAGTTTGTAAGAAAACATTTGCCCAAAAGGTTCAACTCAAAACACATATGAGGACACACTCAGGAGAAAAACCTTTCTGCTGTTCAGTCTGTAACAAAGTTTTTGCTCTACGCTCTCATCTCAAAACGCACATGATGACACACACGGGGGAGAAACCTTTCAGTTGTTCTATCTGTAAGAAAGTGTTTTCTGCAAGTTCTCACCTTAAACCACACATGAGGACACACACAGGAGAGAAACCTTTCAGCTGTTCTGTCTGTCAGAAAGTGTTTACTCTAAGCTCTCATCTCAAAATACATATGAGGACACACACAGGAGAGAAACCATTCAGCTGTTCAGTCTGTAAGAAAGTTTTTTCTGTAAGCTCTCATCTCAATAAACATATGAGGAGACACACAGGTGAGAAACCATTCAGCTGTTCAGTCTGTAATAAAGTGTTTGCTATAAACTCTGACCTCAAAACACACATGAGCACACACACAGAAGAGAAACCGTTCAGCTGTTCAGTTTGTAAGAAAACATTTGCCCGAATGACTTATCTCAAAACACATATGAAGAGACACACTGGGGAGAAACCATTCAGCTGTTCAGTCTGTCAGAAAGTGTATGCTGATCATTCTAATCTCAAAAAACATGTGAGGGTGCACCATAGCCTGCATATATCGACGGACATAACTAACGCACAAGCCGACACATTCCAAAGAGGAAGTTCTCATGTGGCTCTTCCGGCTCCTTCTGACTCTGGCTCCCCTTGATTTACGCTGGAATATTAAGGCCCCTCTCTCTGTAACTGCTGCTGTGAGCCTCGTCATTTTGGTTTTAAAATGTTCGTATCAACCTGCTCTGCATGATCCTGTTGGGTATTTTTTCGCTATTTTGTTTGTTTAAAAAAAGAGCGTGGCTTCAAATTCGCCCTTGTAACCGTGAACATCGTGAGCTTCATTTGAGTGGAGCCGAACGCTGTGGTTGACGTCACACTTGCATAATCTGCTTGTTTATACAGTCTGTGGGACACACACAGGAGGATTCAGCTGTTCGATCTGTAAGAAAACATTTGTGAGGAAGCATCATCTCACTCCACAAGAGAGAAGACAGAGATAGAGACCTTCCAGCTGTTCAGCCTGGAAGAAGACGTTTTCTATCAGGAGTTCTTTGCCTAGAAGAATGTAAAAAAAAAAATAAAAATCCATTCATCTGTACATGTTTTTCTTTGCACTAGTGGGGCACTTTGAATGTTTCTGTACTATGATCACATTTGAGCTGTGGAGGGTTGAATAAATCACTTCTAAATCACTTCTAATTCTGCTTTTAATTTGTTTTCAGTTTGTATTTTTGTTGTGTTTTATTCTACATTTAAAATAGTTTTTATGGCTACACCTGCTGTTGTGTCAGTGTCATGAATTAGTTTCAGTATTATGGTTCATTGTCTGTATTTACTTCAAAAATATATTGTACTTCAAAATGTGTAATCCAGAAATATGTGATCCAGACAGGCCTATTCATCTGTCCAGCTTGGAAAAACCAAGTGCGCGGAGCACGGGCCGCTCACAACAAAATAGTCCTGTAACAAACCAGACCGGATCCACGTTTCTGTTCTGCTTTGCTCCGCCTCGGACCCAGTCACGGCCCTCGAACACGGAGGACAGCGAACAATCTTGCGGACCCAGCTGGTGTTCTGCAGAGTTTTTATTATAGATCCATGGTGTTCTGTCGAAATGACGTGATTTTCGTGCGCCTCTCACGCGTTCCACACAAACAAGACTCGGTTTACTCAAACAACGCAGAGGTTCTGTTTCCAAATGTAGCTTCTTTATATTTAGCTCAGAGTTTGTTGCAATGGCAGACAAGAATCCACGACCAGATCGCCGCAAACGAAAGCCCGGGTTTGAGGCCGTTCTAAGAAAAAGAGAACGGGATAAGGAGCGAGGCCACACTAAGGTGATTCTTGGAGATTCCTTCCAGCGATGGCGCGCACTGAAGCAGGAGAAGGGACTAAAGACGGACGCGTTGGTCGCTAAATTTCTTCTGGACAGGTAACTTCTGCTTATCATTTAAAAACGTGCTTTATTTCTAACGTTTTCAGGCCACGAAGGCGATATCCTGTATCTGAAAACGTAATTTTCATGCAAACAAAAAGTACGTTTGCTGCTGCTTGTTGTAGTAGGAACTAGTTAGTTATTGTTAAAAACGTAAATGTAAATTTAAAGTAATCACTAAGATTTCGTTCATTATTTATTTCTATTACAAATATTGAGATTGGGTTTGAAATATATAAATGTATTTTATGTTTTTCAGGTGTGTCCCAGAGTTTAGTGGCGTGAGCGTGAAGACAGAAGAGTCCTCACTGCTTCAACAAAGAGAAACTGAGCAGAGAGAGGACACACAGGGAGAGGACATCAGCTCAGAGACACACGTCCACTCAGAGACTGAGGGAGACACAGAGCACTCTTCTGACGCTGATGAAGACTGGAGAGCTCCATTCAGCTGTTCAGCTGCACACACAGACACAAGCCACCACAACCAAGAGACCAGAGCCACTGTGAACACAGGAGAGGAACCATTCAGCTGTTCAGTCTGTAAGAAAGTGTTTTCTCTTCACTTTCATCTTAAAACACTTCTGAGAACACACACAGGGGAGAAACCATTCAGTTGTTCAGTTTTGGTAAACCTATTTCTTAAATAAAGTTGTCCCCAAAAGTCTATGTCATCAATATTAATATATAACGTATTTTACATTTTAAATAAAAATGATCAATCACATAAATATTTATTTAGGTTTGGTTGATTAATTAGTAATTCATCAAAATGCAGTTTGTTCTCAATACTGCACTCCAGGGCCCAAGTCCCATCCAATCTGCCAGATAAGAAATGGATGACAGAAAAGACGCCCCACTAACGTTAAAGTCGACTACAGACAAATTCAGAGTGTTCATGTCACAAGACTGCACAAGTATGTGTAAGTGTGTATTCTCTTACCTCCTGCAGGTGTCCAGCTCCCCTCTCCGAGTCCTGCTCTGACTCCACAGATTAAAGAAGAACCCAACATCAAACAGGAGGAAGAACAGCTGCAAGTGTGAGGCTCAGACACTTTCAAACTGCAATTCCTTATTTTGTTATTCATTTCTTAAACAAATATTCAGATTGGGTTTGAAATATACAAATGTATCTTATATTTTTCAGGTGTGTCTCAGAGTTTACTGTTGTGACTGTAAAGACAGAAGAGTCCTCAGAGGACATCAAAGCAGAGACATTTGTCTACACAGAGGACACACAGGGAGAGGACATTGAGGCAGAGACACACATCCACTCAGAAACTGAGGGAGACACAGAGCACTCTTCTGACATTGACAGATTTGGATCTACATATAAACTACAAATACACAGGAGAGTTCACATGGAGGAGGAGTCATTCAGCTGTTCTGTCTGTACAAAAGTGTTTGCTCTACCCTCTGATCTTAAAAAACACATGAGGAGACACACAGGGGAGAAACCATTCAGCTGTACAGTCTGTAAGAAAGTGTTTGCTCTACCCTCTCAGATAGAAACACATATGAGGACACACACAGGGGAGAAGCCTTTCAGCTGTACAGTTTGTAAGAAAAGATTTGCTCAAAAGGTTCATCTCAAAACACATATGAGGACACACTCGGGGGAGAAACCATTCACCTGTTCTGTCTGCAAAAAAGTGTTTTCTGTAAGCTCCCATCTCAAAATACATATGAGGACACACACAGGGGAGAAACCTTTCAGCTGTTCAGTCTGTAAGAAAGTGTTTTCTATAAGCTCTCATCTCACAAAACATATGAGGACACACACAGGGGAGAGACCATTCAGCTGTTCAGTTTGTAAGAAAACATTTGCCCAGAAGTGTCATCTCAACACGCATATGATGATTCACACAGGGGAGAAACGATTCAGCTGTTCAGTCTGTAAGAAGATGTTTGCTGTCAACTCTGGTCTCAAAACACATATGAGGAGACACACAGGGGAGAAACCATTCAGCTGCTCAGTCTGTAAGAGAGTGTTTGCTCAACGTTGTAGTCTCAAAAACCATATGAGGAGTTACCATAGACTGTTTATCTCAGAGGACGGAGCCAACGCACAAGCTGCTACAACAGGAAGTTCGCATGTGGCTCCTCTGGCTCCTTCTGACTCTAGCTCCCATTGACTTACGTTGGAATATTAGGGCCCCTCTCTCTGTAACTGCTGCTGTGAGCCTCGTAATTTTGGTCTTAAAATGTTCGTATTAACCCACTCTACATGATTCTGATGTTTTTTTTCCTTCTATTTTGTTTGTTAAAAAAAAAAATCCTATTCCAAATATAGAGCCTGGCTTCAAATTCGCCCCTGTAACTGTGAACATCGCGAGCTAATCGTTGTGGGTGCTTTGTGTCACCATGGCAACTGTACTGCTCAAAAGCGGAGGGCAGATGGATGATTTCCCTTCAAGACAAAAAAAAAAAAAAAAAAAAAACTGCCAGAAATATCAGACAATATAGCATTATACTAATCTGTATCCATGGATATAAACCATAAACAGGCAATCTCACCATGTCAGATTACAGGTCAGGGGAAGTTCATTTGCTGTGACGTTGCAGTTTTCTTAATGTTTACCGCCCTCATGTGGCCACAAAGTGTAAATGCATCTACTAAATTATCTTATCTACAACAAATTATATGTAACTTGATGCTGGTTCAGTTCGGTTATTTTAATGCCAAAATGAACCGTATTTTTTTATTTTAAAGACAATGTATTATGGTAAATCAATATTTTTATCTTTCTACCATGTATTAAAGATGTTGCCTTATCAAAAACTGATTCTTTACAATAAAGTCATTATTTTTATTGATTTAAGAGCATATTTTCTTCTGCACTTCTTTGTAGTATTCGATATATTTGCCTGAACAGTAAAACAGAACCAAAACTACACAACACTTTTGTTTATTTATCCCTTTATTTACTTGTTTACATCAAAAATAAACATTCTCAAAATCTCTTTCACTCTCACTCACTCATGGAGCAATTCTAATTGAACAAGTTGAAAAAATTTAATTATTGGGTGTAATAGTGGACTCTAAATTTACATGGAGCCATGTAGATCACATACTGAAGAAAATGGGTGGAAGTGTGGGCATGATCAGACTCCCACAGTGGTTGCTCAGAAATCTAGTACAATCATTAGTTCTTTCTCAGATGGATTATGTATCAGGTCAATACAGACAGCACCCCCATATATATTTATATTTAGTATATTTTTACAGTCCGCATACACGTCCAGAAAGTTATTGATCATCTTAAAGACTTAAAGATATTAAACACAGTCATACCTATCAGCCATGTTGACATGTTGGATGAAACTGTAAACATTTGTGCATGTCTCACCAGTTTTTAGGAGAACTGTGGTCCCCAAATAATAACTGTATAGAGACAATAGAAAGTATGATAGTACGTATATAGTTTATTTTGTCATGTTACCAGAGCAAATGAGTTTGAACTTGAAGGTAGTGAAAGAAAAGAACACACTGTAAGAATGGATGACGTAAATGTAATCAAAGAACAAACGTACATGTCAGTAATATGAAGGAATGAATAATTAAATGAATGAAGCTCAATAAAAACTACTACATTGCAATTTTCACGACTTTGTTGGACATGATGTCAGCGTCTTATAAAGCGTTAACCGTTCAGATAGATCAATGGTTTTAAACTTTTCTGTTCAATTCTGTCGATGAACTGACCGTTAGCTAGCACAGGCTCATTAGCTCACGCCGCTTCAATGACGCAAAAAAACAACAAACAAAAAAAACACACACACACACACACAAACCCTCAAACGTAATTTATTTATTTAGTTAGTTAATATTATTACTCCGGGGGAATAAACAACAGTGACGGTAAAACGAGGAGCTAGTGTAGCCTGCGCTAGCCTCTTTGTGGCTACATGACATAATATAATATTATTATGAGAGCAAATTAAACAATTAAGATCTAAACACGATATGATATGTTCTTCTAAAGGCTGTCAGCAACAGGACACAAACCACGCAAAACTCTACAACAGCGAACCGACTAGAAAAGCGATTTTAATCAAACACTACAGAACTCCAACAGGAAGTGTTATGCTAACCACTTAGCCGCTTAGCATCTGCGAATGTTTGTAAACAGGAAAACCATCTATTTGTCAGAACAGCATTTTTTTCTGTTACTATTGTTTGCGAATGTTAGTATATTTATAATTTTAAATTCAGCATCAAGAGTGTGATGATGATGATTTTAATATTTTGGTAAAAGTCCAGTTTTGGGGGATATGTGTACTTTCCATTTTTGTCCACATGAGGGCGCACAGGGGCTGAGCATTACTTCAGGAATTTGGAAAAAATAGTAGTATAAATTATAATATAAAGTAATATAAAGTATAAAGTATTCAATAAAAAATACATTAAAGGTAAATTAATTACAAATCGTCTTTTTTATTGTAATAATATATGCTCATTGTTACAATGAATAAATACGTTCATAAATAAAATAGTTTAACGGTTAACACTCCCTCTAGCGGCCACACAGGAGAACTGGAACAGATTTTGCGGATATCTGCAGTTCTCGCTGTTGTCCACACGATGGCACCATACTCGGATGAACAAAACCTGGAAATGGATCAAATGATCCAAAAAAAAAAAAAAAAAAAAGAAAGAAAGAAAGAAAGAAAAAAAGCAGGTTAAAAAGTTTATTTTATAATTTTTTTGCCAGTGAATAATTGTAACTAAGTACAAATCGCTTAAAAAAAAATATATAATAAAAAAAAAAAAAAAAAAAAAAAATAGTAATAATAAAAAAAAAAAAAAAAAAAAATACAAAACACACAGGACTCTAGTTTCATCATCCTACTCCTTTTGAGCACCAGGTTCCAAATATGTACATGTACATATCCTTGTTTGTTAATACTGTTGTTGCTCAAACAAATAAAATGACTGAATTGAATGAATTAATAATATTCTGTATCATGCGCTACATTATTTCTTGTAACAACAGTGATTAACAATATTTTTAAATTTTTTTTAATAGGACCTAATGGTGATTTGGAGTCCTGGTTAACATGCCATGATACAAATGTGTTTAAAATCGTTGGAAGTCCAGTAGTGAACAACACCGGTGGACTGATTAGGTTTGGCTTGGGACAAAAAGTAAAAATAAAGTCATTCAGCAATTTTGTAATCAAGAATATACATATGATAAAGTGTTCTAACAGGCTGAAAACATGAACAGGCCTTTCTGGATTACACATTTTGACGTATGATATATTTTTGAAAAAAATATAGACAAACGATAACACTGAAGCTAATTTATGCCACTGACACAAGAGCAGGTGTGTCCCTAAAAACTATTGTAAATGTAGAATAAAACAGAACAAAAACACAAACTGAAATAAATAAAAGGCGGAATTAGATTTAGAAGTGATTTATTCAACTCTCCACAGCTCAAATGTGATCATAGTACAGAAACATTCAAAGTTCCCCGCTAGTGTGAAGAAAAACGTATACAGATGAACGGATCTTTTTTTCAATATAAGTCAATGAGAGCCAGAGTCAGAAGGAGCTGGAAATCTGGTCCACAGAGAAGACACGTGGTTTATGGTAACAATAATGATGCATCAGTTTTACACAGCGCTTTTCTGGACACTCAAAGACGCTTTACAGAGTATTATTCATTCAATCCACGCTTGGTTGTGGTGTTTTCTCATATGTGTTTTGACATTGGACCTATCAGCAAACACTTTGTCACACACTGAACAGCTGAATGGTTTCTCGCCTGTGTGTGTCCTCATATGTGGTTTGAGACTGGAACTATCAGCAAACACTTTCTTACAGACCGAGCAGCTGAATGGTTTCTCCCCTGTGTGTCTTCTCATATGTCTGTTGAGATTAGAGCTTAGAGCAAACTGTTTCTTACAGAATGAACAGTTGAATGGTTTCTCCCCTGTGTGTATCCTCATATGTGTATTAAGATGACACTTCTGAGCAAATGTTTTCTCACAGACTGTACAGGTGAATGGTTTCTCCCCTGTATGTATCCTCATATGTTTCTTGAGAACAGAGCCTACAGCAAACAATTTCTTACAGACTGAACAGCTGAATGGTTTCTCCCCTGTGTGTGTCCTCACATGTGTTTTGAGATCAGATCTTACAGCAAACGCTTTCTTGCAGACTAAACAGCTGAATGGTTTCTCCCCTGTGTGTGTCCGCATATGTTTTTGAGATGAGTGCGTTGAGAAAACATTCTCTTGCACACAGAACAGCTGAACGGTCTTTCACCTGTGTGTGTCCTCATATGTGTTTTGAGATGAAAGCTTACAGAAAACACTTTATTACAGACTGTACAGCTGAATGGTTTCTCTCCTGTGTGTGTCCTCATATGTTTTTTGAGATCAGAGCTTACTGTAAACTCTTTCTTACAGATTGAACAGCTGAATGGTTTCTCCCCTGTGTGTGTCATAATATGAAAATCAAGATGGTCCTTTCGGGCAAATGTTTTCTCACAGAGTGAACAGTTGAATGGTTTCTCTCCTGTGTGTGTCCTCATATGTGGTTTCAGACTAGAACTATCGGCAAAGACTTTCTTACAAACTGAACAGCTGAATGGTTTCTCTCCTGTGTGTCTCCTCATATGTTTTTTGAGATGAGAGCTTACAACAAACAGTTTGTTACAGACTGAACAGCTGAGTGGTTCCTTTCCCGTGTGAACTCTCCTGTGTATTTTTAGTTTATATGTAGATCCAAATTTCTCTTTACAAATGGAGCACTTGTGTTTCCTGCTCTCATCTTCTTCATCAGCTCCTGCCATGTCTCCATTATTCAAAGTGGCTCTGGTCTCCAATGCAGCCGTGTATTTAAGGAACAGACGTGAGTTTTCTGCAGCGGTTCTTCTAACTCTGGTCTCTTGGTTGTTTTGGTTTCCATCAGCTCCTGTGTCCGTGTGCACAGGTAAACAGTTGAGTGGAGCTCTCCAGTCTTCATCACTGTCAATGTCAATGTCAGAAGAGTGCTCTGTATCTCCCTCAGTCTCTGAGTGGATGTGTGTCTCTGATTTGATGTCCTCTCCCTGTGTGTCCTCTATGTAGACAAATGTCTCTGCTTTGATGTCCTCTCCCTCTGTGTCCTCTATGTAGACAAATGTCTCTGTTTTGATGTCCTCTGAGGACTCTTCTGTCTTCACGTTCACAGCACTAAACTCTAGGACACACCTGAAAAATATAAGATACATTTGTATCAATCTGAATATTTGTAATAGAGATGAATAAGTAAATAAAGAATTGCAGTTTGAAAGTGTCTGAGACTCACACTTGCAGCTGTTCTTCCTCCTGTTTGATGTTGGGTTCTTCTTTAATCTGTAGAGTCAGACCAGGAAGCAGAGAGGGGAACTGGACACCTGCAGGAGATAAGAGAATACAAACTTACACATACTCGTGCAGTCTTGTGACACAAACACTCTGTGAACTTGTCTGTAGTCGACTTTAAGGGTGATGTTGTAATGTTTTCATTAATATCTGAAGCAATTTGGAGTCATAGAGGTTCTTCTGAACGACTCTCACGCTCAGAGCCCTCAAAGCCGAGTCCAAGAGCTGCTGGATCCTCTGAGGAGGAGCAGCACTGCTCTAAACACAACAACCAAAGTCCACTATCGTGCTCTCAAACAGCGCACATAAGTCCTCAGCATCTGCACTCAGCTGCTCCTCCACAAAAGCTCTCCACCCTTTGGACATATTTAATTGTTGTGCCAGTGTACGGCTCTGCTCAACCGTTACCCATAGTGCTACTGTTATCAGTTGTTCTACCGTTACCGGTTGGTAAAAACATAGTTCTGTACAACGGGTAGTCCAAATGTGTGTTGCTAATAGATCCTGTGCAAGTTACCAAATGCTACTTCAGGTTGTAAAACTGCTCTTGGCTGACTTTTTTGCAGTTAGTATTGCACCGTGATTTAAATGCAGGAGGCGGCTTCTCTCTTAATCACTTTTTCAGCTTTGTTTAATTAGTCTCCATAGAAGCAACAACACCGGCCTCAAATATGAAAGTGTCAAATGACCCACAAATGTTAAAACAAGCTAAAATATGGGAAACTATTACATAAATTCTTTCTGTTTTGTGCAGTTAATATTTTACTTTTTGCGCTAATAATTTTAAAGTTAATATTTACTTAATTCACTGATTACATTACAGAAACAACGTAATGTAAACAGTGAAATAAGTACAGTGCTGATAGATTTTTTTTTCCACTGCTACCTCTAACAAATATATTTACATGAGGTGTGACGAATGAAATGTTCTACTACCAGTAGATATTTGTAGAAATAAGTATATCCTATTTAAATGTGCTCTTATTGATGTAGTGCCAGCTTACATAGCCCTCTGCTGACATGTTGCTCTTGTTTTGTTGGGGCAGTGTTACCTGTGAGAGGCCCAAGCCTTTGTGGATCATCGGGTTTTGAAGGGAAACTATCAGCCATTCCTCTCAGGGACAAAAGTCTTGATCGGAGTATGAGTGTCTGCAGATCAGGGATGTACTTGTACTCTTTTGGGGCTTTGTGTGTGTACAGATGCCACGTCTTTGTCCTCTTGTTGTAAAGCTTTCCTTTTCTAGACACAAATAACAAACACACACAATCAGTTATAAATTTACACTCAACTATGTCCAAATTATGTTTTCAAATGTAAATGCTGTATAAATATGATTGTTGTTTGGGAAATCATACTGTGTGGAGCCGTCCTTTCTCCTCCTGGGTTCTCTGTTTAGGTGATTGTTGTAGTCCAGCGATGCCAAGTGGACTCGTGCCTCATAAACCTTCTTGGAGAATGCAAAGCGTTTTCCAGCGTACATCGAGACATGATTGTGGAATGACTCCAGCTCTGCAGTCGACCTTAGTGTGAAAATGTGTGTATACTGGTCATTTTTTGTTTTATAAGTAAAACACTAAGTTTACAAATGTAACAGCAGAAGTGGGTTAGATTTACTTTGAGTAAAGGTTTAGATTACTCTTCCCTAATGAGTCTATAACTGACAAAGCTTTGTGTTGACAATATTAAATGATTGGCACATTTGTGTTTTTGTTTCTTCCAGCTACATCAACTTGAAATTATAAATCAGACGTTACACTCTTACAATTAACGTTGCTTGATTTTTTTCCCCTTTGGATCACCACTTTGTACTTCTACTTTACCCATCTCTGTGTAACACATGAGCCTACCTAAAAGACAGGAACTTTGTGACAGTCTTCAGCCATCGCAAATCCAGCATTAAATCACGTAGCCGCTGGTGAGCCACAGAGTCTTTTGGAATCAGTGGCTTGTTCCTTTCGCTTTCCAACAGGTCATGATCACAAGAGCCAAAGCACCACTGATGAACACCAGTCACATGATGTAAAAGTCCAGTCCATAGATCCTGAAGTATGAGAAATATGATTATTACTGTAATCCCATTCTGGTATGAATCATGACATTTTGTATAATCTCTCATTCATCAGAGTAGAAACAGTTTGAAAGGTGGTCAACTGCAATTTCTCCAATGTAAATCAAACAGACATGAAATTAAATCTTTCTTTTATACTGACCATGAAGTGTTCATATGTTTCAGCCGTTTTACAGCAGAACCAGAAGTGGTTTGTTATATCCCTGTTCCAGGTGAGCAGCAAGGAGCAGTCCTTTTGACGTCCAGCCTAATCACACAAACAAATTAATAAACAATGTAGTAAAAAAAAAAAAAAAAAAAAAGATTTACAATATAAAAACATGTATTCATACTAAAAAATAAACATACAGCCAAAATCTTTTTGCTGAGAGTTTTAGCACCATGCCAGACGTCCAGTGAGTGTTTTATTCCTTTGTCTTTGTATTCTCCACTCTCTGTTGAACAAATCCACAAATTATATCACTATTATTCTCTGCAGACTCTAAGCATTTTCAAAATATAATCCACGCACTGAACAGTGAAGATATCTGAGAATGTGCATCAGTGCAAACTTCTTTGACTGTCAAGTCTTTCATGATTTCGTCCATGCATTTTAGGAAACAGTGCTTCTCCACGGTGACGGAGTTTCTTTGGGTCTCTCGTTTGTCAGAGCTGTGCATGTAAACAATCTTCTTTGTGTCATTGTCCATCATGGTGTACGTGCAGTATTGTGCACAAAATCCTGGACTATCCATCCGACCATCACCTTTGCGCAGAACAAAAGTTCAACAAAGAGTAAGTGTTTGTGAAAGGCATTTGACAAATTCATATTAGCAACTGTATGTAATAAAGTGTCAATCACTCACCAAGCAACACAACAGAGTCCTTCTCTTTTAACTCATTAATGATCCCTTCAGTGTCTTTCTTCCAGAAGTTGGTGATGTTATCCACACAGAAGTCATCTTGGATCTTGTGGAATGTTGTGGGATCAATCATTCCCATATTCATAAATTTGAAGAGAAGTGCCACTTTTCGGAAGCTGCTTCCAGACAACAAGACATTAACACCCAACATGAAGTCTCCCGCCAGCATTCCACATTTAAAGTAACGCTGGGAGCTCCAGTTCCAAACGGTGTGTCCATTTGGACATATCTATGGAAAACAAAATAAGACAAATGAAATAATGTGACTTATGAATACACAGTTGCTGCTACTTCCACAGCTCCTGCTACTACTTCTTACTACTACTGCCACAAAACTACTCCATTTCTAGCTTCTCCCAGTGATATTATAGTATATATTGTGTATTATTATTTCCATATGTTAATTTTGTATTGTGGATTATTGCCACTGACTCACCCATTCTGCTATTACAGCTGTGCATCTTCTTCTCACTGAAACTTTAAAGGGTCTTGGTGCATTACATGACACCTTTGAGATAGGGTCCTGAGCTGTGCATTTGTCCACAGGTAGGATTAGGTAATCTAGAAGCTGCTTCAAGACGTCATGATAGATGATGGACGCTTGTTTTCCCAAAACGTCTTTCTCAATAACAGCCATAGCAGTGTCAGGAGGGACGGCATCTTCCACAGTTTCACAGTCGTCAGGCTCATCATGGACCGTTTCATCCATGTGAATCTGTGGCAATGTGTCGACACAAAATGGTTGTTTCAGTGCACCCCCAGCCCTGCAGTGAGAAAATGCAAATGCCATTAAGCACAGTGTGACAAGAAAATAACAATTGGCTCAGTCTTCTACCCCCCAATATGTGCTAAGTACATTCTTTTGTGTCGGGGGTTGGAGTAAAACATTTCACACTCTCACCAAGCCAATGTCTTACATACAGTTGAGTCTAGGAAAAAACTAAGTACCGCAGACAAATTGGTGGTGTGTAGTGTAGATCTTGACTCTCATCAGAGGCAGAGTCAAAGTCCTTTGTTTCATCTTCTTCAGAGGAAAACTGTGATTGTGTTTCCATTTCTGGAGTCCAGGTTTCATCATCCCAGTCGATACTAAAAACATCAATGATTGTCATTTACAATCAATCCACAAATGCAGGAATCTTAAAATGACAATAATACACACGTAGTGTTTTGGAGACTGTTGAATTCTTCCTCATCTATGTTTTCAATCAGTTCATCTCTGGAGGTGGAGGAAACAGAATGTTACAAATTGAACAAAGTCATACATTACAAAATCAAGTGACAGGAGCTGCTTATTTTAGAGAAAAACTTATATTACCTAGTTTTTCTATGTGGTGCACAAATTTGGTCTTCACTGCTGCTGCCATCCCTGAAAAGTGTGGATAGTTTAGAGCTGCACAAATCATTTCAGATGAAGAAATATTTCCTCGAGAATATATTGACAATAAAACATGTTTCCTAACAAATAATGTAGTGAAATAATAACCACCAAAACAGTAACAAAACATATTTCTGTACATTATTACCCGTCTGAGAGCGAATCCTGAACAATGGTGGAAACCGGAGTCTGCGGGGGTCTCACCCATCGAGTTTGAGGTAGCGGGGCAGTCGAGACATTATCATAACTGCAACGAAATTCAGAGTTATAATAAAGTTGTTGTGTGAGAGTCATGTATGCTGTGCAAGATCTTAACGATTACTTAGATTTACGTGTACGTTTTTAATGCAGGAGTGTATCCTAGAAAACAAGTTCGCTGCAGAGGACCCGTGACTACAACTAACTACAACAAACAGCAGCAAACGGACTTTTTGTTTGCATGAAAATTACGTTTTCAGATACAGGATATCGCCTTCGTGTCCTGAAAAACGTTAGAAATAAACCACTTTTTAATAAAAAGCAGAAGTTACCTGTCCAGAAGAAATTTAGCGACCAACGCGTCCGTCTTTAGTCCCTTCTCCTGCTTCAGTGCGCGCCATCGCTGGAAGGAATCTCCAAGAATCACCTTAGTGTGGCCTCGCTCCTTATCCCGTTCTCTTTTTCTTAGAACGGCCTCAAACCCGGGCTTTCGTTTGCGGCGATCTGGTCGTGGATTCTTGTCTGCCATTGCAACAAACTCTGAGCTAAATATAAAGAAGCTACATTTGGAAACAGAACCTCTGCGTTGTTTGAGTAAACCGAGTCTTGTTTGTGTGGAACGCGTGAGAGGCGCACGAAAATCACGTCATTTCGACGGAGCAGCCCATTTCGACAGAACACCATGGATCTATAATAAAAACTCTGCAGAACACCAGCTGGGTCCGTAAGATTGTTCGCTGTCCTCCGTGTTCGAGGGCCGTGACTGGGTCCGAGGCGGAGCAAAGCAGAACAGAAACGTGGATCCGGTCTGGTTTGTTACAGGACTATTTTGTTGTGAGCGGCCCGTGCTC